TTGCATTTTTTTCCTGGAAATGGTGCCGAAGAAACGTTTCTTTCAAAATTACATGCCTACCATCGCTGCAGTGAAAACTTGATGCGATTCTGAAACCTCCTGATTGATCGCCCAGGGTTGGTGAAAAATTTGAAAACCTGGTGAAAACCTGGTGAATTTCCAAAATCTTGGTGAACTGTTGGTTATTTTGAAAACGTGGTGGAAACCTGGTGAAAACCTGGTGAATTTGCAAAACCGAGCGATGAATGCCAAAACCTGGTGAAAACTTGGTGAAAACCCGGTGAAAAGTTGGTGAATTCATCAGGTTTTCACCAAACAAACGAAAGAAGCGTTTTACGCACTGAAGGATTCTGATAAAACGCTTGTTGCATCCCACACCCGAAATAGTATAGTGAAAACGTTTGTTGCCTTCCAAAATTAACAAATAAGCAACTTAACAAAAGGAAAATGGATGTGTATAAATATATATATATGGTTGACTACAGAGTCTATGAAAGATGTAGCTATGGTTAATGGAAATCGTCTGATATCAACTGATATCTTTGGGAAATTATGGATCATATGGGAACATCTATGGGACCATGATGGGATTATGATGGATTGCTCGTGGAAAGTTTGGTTTCTGGAAATCTGTGGGCAAACACAACGGATATCAACGGATATAGTTTTAGCTGAACGGGCTATATCCACAAAATGATCATTTAGTGGGTGGGAAATGAAGATTAACCAGTGAATATATAGAATGGATTAGCCTATCTGATTTGGTGCTGGCGGGCAAGTTTTTAGTTTTGAAGATTGGAGTGATTTGGCTGTTTCCTGTTTCCTGGGCGGTCCTTAGTCTTGTGATTGATGATTATTTTTCAGTGATATTGCCACTTTCGGCCTTCCCCTCCGTTTTTGAACAAACCTGCACTATATGCAGTGTGTGCATTATATGCGTGTGTGTGGTTGGAATATGTTTGAAGCCTTCAGCCGGTGTGGTTACCGGGACTTGCAAGGGTCTTCCAAGTTTTGTTTCAACTGGATGCTATTTAGTGCAGGGCTTGGTGATGCCATTGAGGCAATGTTATTCGCTTGGCAGTTTAATGAAAATCCACCAAAAGTCAACAAACACGCAAGCACTAGAAAAGTGACTCCCCACTATGCTGAGCCTTTTTGATCGGTGGTTTAATTATTTCTTTGCGGACCAATTTTTAGCTTGGTATTTAAGATTGTTTTGATTGTATCGCAGTAAGAGGAGCAAATAATATGCCAGCACCATGAAACGTTTGAGACTGTATAGACTTGTTGGTGATACAGTGATACCCATGGGGTTGCTCTTGGGAATGCCCACATTTGTGTGACTTCTGATTGGTAATTGAAGCGTATCAGACATACTGTATTACTAGTTATTTTTTTTGTTATCATGTCATGTGCATCATATGTTTGAATTTTATATATATATATCTTATGATATCTGATGTAAGATTTTTTAATAAGCTAAATATGAAACAGACTGAGCGAGCAGCTCTGAGCTTTGGAAATGTGGTCCACCAGGATGATGTTCATGCATCGACATCAAGCCATTCGACCGCCTCCCTACGTTCCTTGCCCGGCGGCCGTGACGGTTGCTATCTACGGTTGCTGGGTGGTGCCCCAGTTCGTTGGAGAAGTTGATTTATAAGTCAAAGTTCACTGCGGTTTATAGGGAATATATCATATATATATATATATAGTTCAAGGAATTTTGAGCCATTTATAACTGGGGAGGCACCACCTAATGATAATGATAACAGTAATCTTAATGACAGTAATGATACTAATTATGTAACACATGGAACTGGAAAATCAGCACTGGCTGGTTTCAGACTTTTCATAGTTGGAATTATGTGACTATTTTTGTTGGCGCATTTAGACCTTTACTTGGGATGGTGATCCCAATGACGAATATTTCTTCAAGGGGTTGAGACCACCAAGCTCCGCAACTGAGGTCTATGTCTCTGATGGTGGCCTCATTGAATGTTACTGGGCGCAGTCCCTAGGGTTTTCACCTGAGACATCTTGCCGAGACTTCATTGACCCCATGCGTTTCTTTTGCGATGTCTCCAGATCACAAAAGCTAGCGAAAGCTAGCTGGAGTTGGGTTTGTTGCAATGAATTGGGGGCAGACTGGATGCAGCTTCCATGATCTTTCATGTCGAACTGGTTTGGGGTCTCCAGCTCAAACCCCGCTGTGTCCATCCCGCCGGGTTTCATTTGTGACCACAGGTTCCCAGGCCTAGGCACACACTCACACATATACAAGATGATAATGATATTCACCTTGAGTGTTCTGAATGCAATGCGACGTAATGAAATGTAATGTATATAATGTAACGCAATCCAATCTAATGTAATCTAATGTAATGGAAGCTAATCTAGTGGTCCCCGTTGAGATTTTCTATGGAATGGTTGGCTTAGAGGCCCATATATAAGCCTGTATTTTAGTTTTATTTTGTGGGAAATCATGGCCAGCACCTTGCCATATTCCAAGACGCATAAAAACGAGAAGATGTAGGCATAAAACCACTATCATATAGCAATCTCAAAATGCAGTTTGAAAACTTGGCTGGGTTGGGGCCATTCATTTTGTCAGGAATCACTGTGTTGATTTTAAGGGGTCATTTTGTAGGGATTGGTGCTATTCTTGGAAAACGATCTGCGCGCCAAATTTGTGCGGGGATTTTGGCTGTTGCATCAAGCCTCATGCATTGGCTTACAAATGGGAGGGTGTTACCAGGATGGTCTGATGTTAAAGGCTGAGAGAAAGAGGTTCAATCAGATGGTTGCAAAGTGGCTCAACCGAAGCGCGTTCAGTTGGGGCATTTTGTATTTGGCAAGTAGAGTGCTAGGAGCGTATTTGTTTCGCTGGTATGCTAGGATGTCAGGGGGAGGGTTGTGGAATGATTATGGTGCATGCGAGCTAGGATGTCATGATACGCTGCTATTAGCTTGTCAGCAACATCGATTGGTAGCTTATTTCAGTTCAAACAAATACATTTAAAAGGTTGCGCCACATATACTCTCAATACACATCTCTCCTTGCCCAACTAGCTTTCGTCCCCTTCCCTTTGGCCTCAAGTACAAGATAACTGCAGATAGAATGCCATGGATGATCTGGGTTGTTCAGAGTGCTTTCTATTCTCTGAGGTTTGGGTGTCTTGCTGCTTTTGCGTCGGCGAATGCCACTGATCATTTGCTCAGATGCCTGTGAGGACAGGGATGGGATACCTACATAATCTAGATCTGGACATATCTGGATCTATATCTGTACTTTTTTGTATGTGTAAAAGGGACGCGTTTGATTGGGCAATAGATGATCCAAACAGCCCCCCAAGGTGACCGTTTTTATACGCGTCAAAAACCACCAGTTGTGTCTGACTCAGCGCAGCTATGGCATGCCATGCTATGGCGCTTTAAAACGTCATGGGTCAAGCTGCCAAAAACATGGGATGACTATGATGAGTCATGTTAAACATGACAGAGTGGCTTTGGAATATGGAGTGCTGTAGCCTGCTGTAGGACATGAATGTGACCTTGCGGGCTTTACTGGACACCATTCATTTGGCGCGAGCCGAGAAATTGCTCCTGAATTCAAAAGGGGGTTTGGGATGAGTGGTGAAGTTGGTACTCGTACATGGTAGGTATTCTGTTGTACATCATGCTGTATATATCACAATATGTTTCCAGGTTTGAGGGTGCACCAGTGATCGCTGTTCGAAAATACAATTCCTTTTTCTATGTGTTGGATGTCAAAGGCATGCTTAAGACTGTTTAAGAGGCAAAGGATAGGCCAAGAATGCAGAAGGTGTGGGATTGTGGTGCCACACCAGATGCATCGCATCCTTCACATATCTAGTGCACGTGGCAATTCTACATTCAAGAATTTCAGTGACGCAGGCGCATATGGAAAATTACACTATAATGTGGTTTAATCTACAGTGTTCAGCCAACCTGCTGTTGCTCGGGAAGAATGATTACTGTGAGGTTCACGAAACATGGCACCATTGGCTTTGATGTGGGAGCCACTTAGATTTTTTGAGATATATTTCATGATGCACACACATGCCGAGATACACACATATGTATGTATGTATGTATGTATGTATGTATGTATGTATGTATGTATGTATGTATGTATGTATGTATGTATGTATGTATGTATGTATGTATGTATGTATGTATGTATGTATGTATGTATGTATGTATGTATGTATGTAGGTATGTAGGTATGTAGGTATGTATGGTATGTAGTATGTAGGTGTAGGTGTAGGTGTAGGTGTAGGTAGGTATGTAGGTATGTAGGTATGTAGGTATGTAGGTATGTAGGTATGTAGGTATGTAGGTATGTAGGTAGGTAGGTAGGTATGTAGGTATGTATGTATGTATGTATGTATGTATGTATGTATGTATGTATGTATGTATGTATGTATGTATATACATATACAGTATATATATATATATATTAACAATATTGCATGTAAAATAAAACACATACGCATTTACACGCGCACATGACACATCTCATCATATCATATATTGTAGCCACAAATTCACAGCTGCCCCCGCGTTCAGGTGCTCCTTCTTTGATGTTAGAGATCCCCGACGCGATGTGCAGCTGTCCATGGCAGAAGTGCCGTGGCAAGGGGACATTGGCGAAACGGTTGATGAATGTTGGGCAGGAAGGTTTGGGACATGGAAAAATGCATTTTCTTTGATGCATTCCGAGGAATTGGTTGTGGAAATGGTGGTGAAACTATGGAAAAATGGAACTTGGGAACTTGGGATTTCAATCTGGTTTATACTGGGTTACTCAAGGCTACATAGCAGGAGTTTTAGCTTACACGTTTGCTGTTTAGGACAGTATGAACTTGTTTGCATAGACCCCGTGGATTCATGGTTGTGTTTCATCGTTGGATGATCCCACTTGTCTTTGCTTATTTTTTGGGATGGACTATACTATCTGGTGGGTGGTTCGGAACATGTTTTTATTTCTCCAGAAATATTGGGAATTAAATCATGATCCCAACTGACTTTCGCATATTTTTGCGAAGGTGTAGGTCAACCACCAACCAGCTGGAATCCCACCTGCCATGATATGACCTGACATGACCTGCTGGTCAAGTCTCCTCAGGTGAGACATAGCCGCTGTCCATATCTTCACCTGGGCATTCGCCCCTCGGAGCAGCCGAAAAAGTCACTGCTTGTCACTGCCGAAAAAGTGATGTAGTTTTTCAGGGTTACCAGATTACCTGGTAAACCCTGGTTGGGTAAGTTAACATAAGTTATATAACATTCTTTCCAACGTTCCATGCAGATGGGATATAGGATGCCAGAGCTCGAAAACGACGTTCTTTTGGATCATGTTTTCCCCATCAAGGTAGCCATGATTTGTGGAGAAACCCAAATGGAGGTTTCTTAAAATGGTGGATCCCCAAAACCATACATTGCTACAAATGGTCCAATGACTTGGATGACTTGGGATTGCAAACCTCCACAGTTATGGCTGTTTACCAATTATAAATGCTGATAACTGGTTATTTCGTAGCAAAATCTGTTCGGAGTTCGGGTTTAGCCAACTTAAAGGTTTCTATGGGATGTTCTGCTTTTCCATCCCGTCTAGAGCTTGGTTTCTTCTGGCCACTTTATCTCTCAAAAACCTTCAGCGTGATTTCGGTTCTCATTCTCTGTTTTCGATTCGCGATGAGTTGGATCATCTCGCTTTGATTCCGCAATCGGTTGGACAACGGTGAACGGGGCACCAACCGCTCCATTAGGTTGCTCGTGAGGCACTGGTGGGCATGCAGAAAAAAAGAAATGGGGTTTTCTGAGTACTTAAAACTTATAAACTTATAACTGGTATTTCGGGCCATAACTGCAAAAGGGTTCCCCAGATGTGGCTCCGCCCGAAAAAAGTTTCAGGTTACGAGCCGACCGAAGCCGGTGGAGAGGCCATGGAGGGAGAACTACTCTACATCCGTGGCATGGCGATCGAGACGCTGGTGGGTAAAATGAATGTTTCCTGAAATAGGGGTACCCCCAAAACATTCCTTTTAATGGCATTTTCCATTATAAACTATCCAGCTAAATGGGAGGTAAATTTATAGAACACCCGAAATGTGAATGATGGAGGGTATAATTAATACAGTGATTCAGACCGAGGATATAATATTTTGGAAACACACCAGCAATAATGGGTGTACTGATGGGGATGCTCATGTATGGGTAAGATATGAATCATGGGGATATAATGAATAATTAATAGGGATATAAGCAACTTGCCAGTAAACATGATGTGTATGTATTAATATGTGTTTTAATTGTTTCATTCTATGTGTGTGTGGGTGATGTTTTATTCTGGTGGAAGGGTGGAAAGAGAATCCTTTGAACAACGATGGCGGACTGGATCAGAATCGGTCACCTCACATTGCTAGCGCACACCCCCTGTTGCTTAAGTCATTGGAAATGTCCACGTTTATCGCTTCAATTCAATCTGCGTTTTTGCCGTTCCAAAAAAGAACCTGCCTACACCCAATGTTTGTTGGTGAAATTTGATCTCTCCATCTGTTGATCAAATCCCCAAAATCACCATGATATGCCCCAGATTTGCTGGTTACGTCCCCGTCGTCCACAAGGCATGCGCTTGGCCCCCGACGACGCGGCGCCGGAACGCGGGTTGCTGGAAAAGGCTGAGCTCATGGGCAAACCGACGCTAGGCGTTTCCATCTTTTGGAGATGGAGATGCAATTAGCATGGGATGGGAAAATCAGCTACAAAGGGTGGATAGAACTAAGTAAGCCTCAAAACAGATCAGATTGACGGGAAACCATCAAACATGCTGACTTAAGCATCAACAGACGGAGATTTAACATGATTGCACCAACAGAAATATTATTTTGAATCGATTTCACGGGTGACTCAATGGGTAAAAGTTGTTCAATAGAGCCGAGATAACACCAAGCACTTGGCTATGGCACAAAGTGACTCATTGACACAACATGTAACGCATGTACTGAGCCTGGAGATATTCAACGAAGAATGACGTGAAATTGGGCATGGAAATTGGATATCGAAAATGAAATGTAAATTCACAATGAAAAGGAACTTGGGTAGAAGTTTGGTTCAAAATGAATCCTGTCCCTCAAAATAAATGCAGGAAACCCTGGTTCTCGTGTCTAAATATGGTTTAAGTCAGAAAAGTTGGCGAGAAACTGGATGAAGATGGGATTCTTTTGGCGAGTATTGTTTAACCGTTATCATCTCTGATCATTTTTGGGCAGAATCAGACCTCAATAAGGGGATTCCAAACATGATATCGTGAGTACTGCATCATCATGATTTTCTCTGCAGTTATCATGTTTATTCCAAATGATATGGAATAATGGATATTACTGATTGCCAGTTCATAGGACCCCTAATCTGCCTGAGAATCATGTTTTAAAATTTGCATAGAAATCCAAACATGCAAAGATATGGAAGAATGATGATTATTATATGATTATTATATGAATTATATGATTATTATCCAATGGATTATTGGTGTTTTTCCCCAGATGTTTTTCCATCAAAGTTTATCCAGATCTTCGCCTGCCATGCCCTGGAGGATCATCCCAATTAGCAACTGGCTAGTGGGATGAGCCCCCGTTATGTGTGTTGGTTTTCAAGCGCCATTAGCTAGTATATCTACATATATCTACCATAAATATCAAGCAATGCAACCAATATATAGCTTTCATCACCTATAACCATCCATTTCTGTACATCAAGTGCCGGTGAAATCCAACAAACTTCTACAGCTTGGGGCGACCCTCCCAGGATCCCACCTCACGGCAGCACCTTCGACAGCAACGGCAACGGCGGCGCAAGGCGCCACGACGCCAGCGACGCCAGCGACGCCATGCCGCCGCGACGCGAGATGAATGGTGCCGGAGCTGGTGGAACTACTGGTGGAACTGAAGGGAACTGGGGAGATTCCATGTGTCAGTGGGGATTATATCTATAATCATCCATCAATAATGTTGGATCATCAATAATGTTGGATTATAATATGAACAGATGATAGTGCATTCATGCTTTGATATTTTTGATACTGATAAATTATGATATTTTTTCAGTACTCGTATCATCATCCCAGAATCATTCTAATCGATAGTGTATGCAATTAATCTAACTGGGGAATCATTGGGAATAATATCCGTTCATGAATAATATCCCAGTTCATTCCCGCTACTATGCCAGTTTGAACTTTTAGAGATCCAGTTAAGTGGGGATAATATCCATCACTGAAACTCAGATATTATGATATATGCCAGGTATATTCCACTTCACTGGATCTATTCTATAACTGGGAACTATCCAGTCATCCAAATGGGATAGTACCAGGGATATGCCTGATGGAACTGAGATAAAAAGCCACAACTGGGGAATATTGCAATCATTTATCCAGGGATATTGATCTAAGCTGGCTGAAAAACTACAAGCGTGACCCATAACTCGGGATATCCACTAATCTAGCCGGGTCACATTCCATGAATCTAATTGGGGATATTGAAACCGCAGCTACTGATTGAACAAGTTTTGAAGTGAGAATTGGTATAAAATGGTATAAAATTGCAATTTTTGTGTCTTGTTAAAGTGAATTTCCCTGGTTTTCGCTGATGATATACCAACTTTTTAACCCATAGCTATGCAGCAACTACGCTTGGCCAATCGCCATTTCCATGGCACGTGAAGCCATCAAGGCCTCTGGTGTTCCGGCCCCTGCGCCCGACGTTGCCCTGGGCGTCGCTTTCCGGACTTTGGCACAGGCCAGGAGGACTTTGACTTTGGAGGTGTTGGCATGGCGTATCTCCTGGGCAAAAAATGTGGTGAAAGCATCCTAGTTACCCTCTGGTAATTTAACATAGCTATTGAAAATGGCCATTGATAGATTTTATAGTTGATTTACCCATTAAAAATGGTGATTTTCCATAGCTATGTTAGTTTACCAGAGGGTAGCTTGAAATAATTGCAGATTATATAACCATGCTTAACCAATGACATCACCTAGGAGTGAGAGAACCAATAGATCATGCCCAACATTACATGTGCGGAATGCTTACCTGTGCAAAAAGGAAATTTATATGCAGATGAATATGCCACAGTGTGGGTCGTATAGGGTTAGGATAGTCATAGTTCGGACATCAAACCTGCAATCCTCTTGCATATTTACATGCCTGGCTGAACAATTTCAACTTAATTATATATATATATAGTAACAGTGATAATAATAATAATGGTAATAATAATGTTAATAATAATAATCATATTAATAATAATAATAATAATAAATAATGATAATAATAATAATCATATTAATAATAATAATAAATAATAATGATAATAATAAGAATAATATATATATATATATTGGGATACTGTGGGGTTATCATCAAACTAAATGGCTGGTGTACCTATTGCCTAGTGTAAAAGTACTGGTTTGAACAGAAAAAGAGGATGATGATCCAAATTGACGATTGATATGGATGGCTCAGTTGTTGGTCATGTTTCCATTATGCATACCCAATATTACCACGAAAGTGGTCAATTTTCTATGGTTGTTTCTTTAATCCTAATTTTTGTTGGGTTATATTTATATAATCACATTTTTCCCCCAATATTTGTTAGGGTTAAATCCCTTAAATTCTTGTTTGTTGGAGCCACCAGTTGTCCACTGCGCTTCCCCCATCTTCTGGTGGCCTTGCCAGGGAATCAGTTCCTACAACCACGGCACTTTGCGAACCTTTGCGCTCCTTGACTTCGACAAATGCCATGGAAATGCCAAGTTTTGACGGAGGTTTCTCGGGGGAATGTCCCGAAAAAAATGGAGCCGCGAGCCCGGGGAAAATTAATGGGAACATCACCCTTTAGAAACCTTGAGATATATATTGAGATATATGGAAAATCGCAATTTTTAATTGGTATGTGTTGATCAATGTTGATCATCTACAATGGGGTATTTTGCATAGCTATGTTCAATTACCAGAGGGAAGAGATGGAAAGAGTATGAGTACATCATCCAGAAACCGGGTATGTTGCAGTGTTATTTTTTCCTACCTCCTGGTAGACGTGCAAATTCAGGAAAAACAAATTGCGGGCAGAAAGCTATCTATGATCGGAAGTTAGTGTTTTCTGCGCTGGTGAGTAGAGGATGTCAGAAGGTCGTAGAGTTTTGAAAAAATCGCAGGCGCCAGTATCTTTAAACATGTGGCAAGGGCTCATGACCAACCTGGACTTTAAAAACAGTTTCTGGTATTCTTGTGCAATGCAACCCCACACGACATGCTCTGTAACTTGGATGTTAGATGCATCCACACAGAATCACACAGAATCTCTTTGATTGTTTCCTTTGCAGATGCAACGGGCATGCCTTCTGAACTTGCTAATGTTAGCTGTACTTCCAAGTTCTTTCCATCCCGCCCCCGGTACATAGATGATCCCTAAACTTGTTCAGTCATCAGCAAGTAAGTTGGAAACTGTCCCTTAAGTGTGTTGGGCTAAACATTAGGCACAGAACCGGACGTTTGCCCGGAGAATGAAGCAGATCTCGTGCCGTACGCGTGGCGAGGGGCCACACCTAGTGTACCGTCCATCCCTACAAGGAAATTAGAACCGCGGATGCAACATGTGTTCAAGCCATGGGATGAATTAGATATATTATGTCATCCTGGGCGAACCTTAGGTTCTGCGGGAAACATGAGATATGCACACAACATCTGTAAATGATAAGCCCGTGTCGCTAGGAAAATCAGTTCTAACTTGGTTGCAAGTGGTATATCATGGGTTTAATTTGTTATATCCCATGATATCCCATGAAATCGCAATTGAAATCCATGAAGTTCCCAATAAATCCCTATTGTTTTTTGGGGTTTGAACCCGAAGTTTCTCCTCATTCACCGTTTTTTGAGGCCTTGGGAGCTGAAATGACTCTGCCTGCCGTGAAGTACATCGCTCAGAAGATCTGCCCCAATGGCACGCCGTAGCACGCCGTAGCCAGACACGCGCCGACGGCGCTGCGAAAAGGGGCGGCCGTTGATGTTCCAAGGGTGTTCCATTTTCCCATTGACTTTCATATGTTTATATATATTTATATTTTTCAGAGGGGTAGGTCAACCACCAACCAGTAAACTAACATGGATGTGCAAAAACAACCATCATTGGCCGGATATTTTCTGGGGAAAACCATGGGTTTTTCCACATGGCATCGCGCCATGGCGAATTTTCCCATGTCCTTAGCATCTCCCAAAGGCTATATGAACAGCACCACAATGTGGTGCCCCCCAAAAGTGATGTTTGTATATGTTTGTTGGTTTATAAACCCGTCAACTAAGGATATATATATATATATATGTGTGTGTGTGTGTGCGTGTGTATTGCATGAATCGTAATTATACTAGTTCCAAATCAACTTAAGAATCATATAAACACGTATCAATCCCAATGTATCCCTTTCAACCCAGTCATAAGCCAATCGTTTCAAAATGACTGGAATGAATGGCTAACCTTGGTGATGCTTTGACCGCGAACACAAATGGTGATTTAATCATCCCAAATCAAGCAACCTCTGGGTTTGAGCAGCACAGATGATGGGGACATGCTTCATCAAGTGTGGTAATTATACTTACAATGTGGGGCCCCCCAGCTATAAGTTGGTTTATAAACCCCATTAACTATAGTTATCTATAGTTACAAGTACCATAAACCATAGTTATTGGAGTTATGAACCAACTGAACGCTATCCATGGGGTACTTCTGTTTTCGGTGTTGGAGCCACTGAACATGCCAGTGGGCCTTCATGAACACGGCCGAATGCGCATACCTTCTCCATGGGACAACCCCATGAATGGGGACTTGCACAGACTGAGGGTGCTATTTTGATATACCACATCTGGTCAACGGTACAAGGTGGTGCCCCATAGTTGGTGAAGTTAGTTTATCTTGGTATAAATAGGTTAAGTGTGGTTTACGCTCAATAATTTTCCTGGTTGATGCGGTCTATAAACCAACAAACACAACCTTGGCGGTCACCACATTGCAATCAAGTTACCCTGTGGTAATTTGACATATGGAACATGATCATGTGAACAGGGAAGCATATATTAAGGAAGTCATGTTCCAGAGATATGATTATTTAATTGTGGTAAATTGTTGATAATGGCCAAGTATATTTTTCTAATAGGGTAACTTGATCATGTAAATGGGTCATTTTCCAGGGGTAACCATAGGTGTGTAACAAATAACCCCAAACGGCAACCTCCCAATTTTTGTTGGCTTCCATTAAACCCCGTGAAATCCAACATCAACCATGAAATCCCCTTGAAATTCCCATGAAAACCCTATGAAATCAACCAGTTCACTCATTTCAATCCCATTAAACTTCCAATAAATCCACTATAATCCCATTATTCAAAATGAACACACCAGAAATGAGACCATTTTCTCATAGTGTTTTCCCATCGTTCACCGGGTGAAGCCAGGCCGGAGCCCCCCGCGAAGGTGTCGGAGTCCGTGTACCAACGGCTGCTGGAGTCTCTGCGCGACTGGGCGGAGGCCATGGGAAAATGGTGAAAATGGTGATTTCATGGGTTACTTGGTGGCTCATCCCTGTTAGTAAGTAGGTTCTTACCCCCCTAAAAAAAGTGGGATAAGTAGGGTTAATCCACCGACATAACTAGGGGGACGAGCACCAAGTGATAATATGGGATCATAGTGATTCATTTCTGACTTCATGGGATTGGTGATTTCAATGGGAATGGTAGAATTTTGAAAGGGATTTACTTGCGATTTGATGGGATTTAGATAGCTAAGTTGGTGCAAATGACTAGGTGAATGAACTACGATTAAGGGTAGATCTCTCTCTCTCTCCCTGTCTATAGTTCACGGCGGCTATAAACCAACTTTTAACTGGGGCAATAACTGCGGCAACCCACAAGATATGATTGTCATATGCTGGCTTGGAAAGATGTGCTGCATGGTTTCAATCTTTTCAGTTGAACATGCGCAGCTCTTTTTCCAGCTTAGGGATACAAGGGTTTTGAATCGGTTTTGTAAGGCCGATTACTAGAATACACGATTCAAACTGGGGGATAAGCCTTTTATGTCTGGGTCATATTCCCTGGTGAAAGATTATAGGACAGTATGGAAAAGTGAACTGTGTCAGAGATAAATCGGCTCAAAGTTGGCGCCGATCATCGGGCAGGAAGGCTGCAACGTGGGTCAAAACATCCGCCATCGCTCACTCCCCCCGAAAGAGGGATGAGTCAAAACTTATGATACAATACTAATCAATACATATCAATACTATAGTTGGGCAGATGAATATCCATGTGCCAGCTACATTTTAATGTTCAAAATTGGGGTGCCTGGAGTTTGACCCTACCCGACCTTTGACCGTATCGTAGGTGTTGGACGAACCGCGGCATTTACGCTTGCTCAGGCCAAGGGATAAAGTCATCGGGAATCCAGAAGTGGGCAAGGTCAAGTTTGGATACAATAAATGCCCTCTGGTATTTTAACAGAGCTGTGGAAAATGACCCATCTATAGATATGATATATATATATGTGTGTATATATATATATATCTCATTTACTTCTTGAACACGGTGATTTTCCATCGCGTGAAATTGCGAGAGGATATTCCGACCTGGAATCCAAATGGAGAGATGAAGGTTATTCATCCCAGATGGGGGAAGGGTCCCAAAAACTATACCCTTATTGGTTGCCCAGGCCTTTCTGGCACAGATGTGTTAGTTCATTTCACATGGTGTTTGCAGGTTGGACCTCATTTTTTCCACATGTTTTCCTGTTTAACTCTCGATTTTTGCCGCTGGAATCGACTTTGAACGTTTTTTTGCTGATTGAATTAAGTCAAATTCCTTGTATCCCGAGTTTTTGCTGGTTAAAGATAGATTCAAAATCCAACTATATGTTTTTATCCAACCTTCATTTATGTTTAGCAGCTGGAATCCCCGATGTTTTGCCATTGAATCACCCCCGTCCATTGGTAGGTCCAAAGCCACCACTGAGCCCATGACTAGCATCCTGCGACGAAGCATGCTGGCGGTGCCTGGGAGATGATGGACTGAACTGTGGCTGAAATTTAGATTTAACTAATGAAACTGTTATATCATGAGTACAGCAAGCATAATCAGGCTTTAAATATATATATATTTACAAATATATATATATGTAATGTACTTAAGTGTTACAAGTGGTTGGTGTATGGACATTTAGGCTTCGGAAGGTGAATTTTCTGGATTTGGCGTATACAGGAAGTGATGAAAATTTTGCTCAGAGCCTCTAGGACTTTGACATTTAGTGCCACCGACTTTGTGGTGAGGTAGACCGAAGAGGTAGGCCATCTTTGTTATGTATTCTAAATTTTGTTGAGCGAGGTAAGTGATACACGGGAAGTTGTGGTTGGAGCCATCCAATATGTTTTGGGCCTTCACTCTGCAACTCCGAGGTGTCTATGTTGGTGCCTCTTGGCGTCACTTCATGTTTGGGGGCTCCATCGGCTCACTGCATTTGAGTTTTATTAGGACGGGGAAGACGGGGAAGTACATAAAATACGCTTCTAACTTCTAACCTTTAAACCAGATACTGCCAATATTTTGGGGGGTGAACAAACAAATCCTCGATTTAGATTTCCAAAGGTGGCCCTTACAAGCAACATAGACTTGGAAGATTAGCCAAATTGCCCATAATTCTGTGTAAGAAACAATGAATTATCCGATTAATTGTCCCGTTAATCATTTCATTGATTATCCCAGTATCCCATTGATGATCCCATTAATTATCTGTAAAAAATCATTCCCCATTATTGTTGGTGAACTTTCCCAAGCACATTCACATTCGTCAGAAACTCGGTGAGAATCTCATGCTTTCGTCGAGGCCTGCCGAGGGTGGCAAGGGAGCCTTAGAGACTTGTCTCTTGGACATATGGCTTGACACCAGGTCGACGTAGGTACTTGGATGTGCATCCCACTTAGTAAGTGGTTTTTTATTGCTATACTGTTATCACTATGGTTAGTATCCCATTTTTTTCTCCAATTACAACAGTTATCCGATATATTATATGGCGTTAACTTTCCCAACTTCTCGGGTTATCATAGGGGGCGCCAAGCCGAGGTCGCTTGCTGCGAAGCAGCGACCAACTCTCCGCCCTGGAGCGAGTCACGCAAGCGCAGTCACCTGACTCCTATCATATGTTGTTTTGTTCCCAAAATTAAAAGATATATGATATATATATAAAGGTAAAAATGCCTATCATTGTGTATTTACATATGTATACATATGTAATTATACATCTATGTGACATAAAATATTTGTATGTGTATTTACATATGTAATACATATGCACTTATACATCTATGTGACATATACTATTTGTATGTGTAATTATATGTATATATGTAAGAGCATGTATGTATACACATATGTATATGTATGTAAGTATGTATTATGTTTCTGCCCACTTGTAATCACTTGTGTCCGTATTTTTCAGGTGAAACCACCAGTTAACAAGCTATGTCATTGAGGAAGACTGGTCGACCTCACCAAAGATATCCAGAGGCGGTGTATCATTTGCAGCCCCTCAAGACTTGTTGTTTTCAGGTTCGCAAGTCCCCACAAAAGCATGGCCCTTCTGAAAAGTGCATCGAAATGGATTCCAACGTTGGGTTTGGAAGGCAACGCGGAAGCATGCAAAAGCATGCAGAAACCGCAATCCTTCCTTTCCATTGCAAATCAAAGTTTTAGTTAGTGACATCTTTTTTTTGTTTCGTAAACCCATCAAACTAGACATTCATTTTAAACCCATCATGTAAATCTAGTGATTTCAACCAACTTTTAGCTAACCAACCGGTTCATCATTTTTGACCAACCACCACCGATGTCCCCAGTCTGGTTTCCTGCATTTTGGTTGTTGTGAGTCACCCCTCCACCATTGATGTGTTTGTTTCCACTGCTTGGTGGGGAGAACCAATAGATGCAAATGACATCTATAGCAACACGTCGGATATAAAATTGTTTTTTGATGTTTACCGCTACACTGTAGTATATATATAATGTTTATATAGAAATGTGCTATTTCCCATCATTTTCCACCATCTTTAGTGACTTCCCGTGGTGCCGGGCCTAGCACCGCCACGGGGCTTCCAGGTTCGAGGCGGCCGAGCAATGCCTGGGCCTCTGCGCCTCGTTGGACCCCGACGACGCCCCGGGCGCGGCAGCAGCGCCGGGCGCCGCGGCGTTGCTGCGACTGGCGCAGCTCATGCTGCAGCTGCTGGCGGCGCGCTTCAGGCCTCAACAGGTGCGCGCTTGGGAAGATCTATGGGAGATTCATATGGAAAATGGCCGATTTATAGATCTGATTGGTGGTTTGGGACATGGCTTTTATTTTCCATAATATATGGGATGTCATCCTTCCCATTGATTTTCATATTTTTCAAGCTGGTTGAAACCACCAGAGATGGTTTACCTGTTCAAGATGGTGATTTTCTATAGCTATCTTAAATTACCAGAGATGGAACATATGGGGGTTTCCTAAAATGGGGGTACCCCAGTAGCTGGATGGTTTATAATGGAACATCCGAAACTAAAATGGATGATTTGGGGGTGCCCTTATTTTAGGAAGCCACCATATATTTATATACTGTTGGAGATATATATGAATACCAATTATTAGTTCACAATCAATGTTTGTGTTATGTTTTTATGATTTTTAATGATTAGTAATGGCTACTCATGGAGGTGCCCCATATATGGTTAGCGAAGTTGGTGCAAATAACAACAAGAAAACTATGGTTAATCAATAAGTTCAATAGCCATTTCAGGTACCAATTCATTGGAGGTACCTACCAAATGCAAGGCCTAAAGTTCAGGGCTATGTAAGGGGATCATATAACTTTCCGTGTTTCTGGCAAGAGAAATGATAACAAGAAGAAGAAGAAGAAGACGCATAACACCAACAGCAGAAACAACAAGAAACAACCTATAAGAACAAGAAGAAGCAGAAGAACCAGAACTGAGAAAGGACAATACAGCAACGTATCAAGGGATGTTCCCACATTTTCCTTTATATTTCCTATAATTTTCCCATTTTACCTCCATTTCGTGTGAAGGTCCAGACGGCCCGCGCCTCGGGCCGGGCTCCGTCACGCCCAGCCACCGGTGCAGAGGGACCTCGGCTGCCGCCGGCGCCACCCCCGTCGCGGGCGCCGATGTCGCCGATGTCGCCAGAGGCGGTGGAGATGCCGTTGCCGGAGAAGCTGAATGGCAGAAAGGGACAAACATCTGGGTTTCATTGGGGGTATATGAATTGGGGCAAATATCTGGCAAACATTGGGGCAAACATCTGGTTATATGATATTTTCATTGGGGAAAACATCTGGATTTCATGGTACCAATGTTTGCCAATATCTACGAAAATCGAATGATTTGGGGGTATATTGATGCTGAAGCTCCGGGATGACGATGGAAGGACAAATTGGAGGTATGAGGATATCATGGGGATAAATATGGATTAAAAGGGGTTGAGACCCGCAAAAACTGGATGGTAGGCTTATACCGTCAGTTGGCAATGACGCAATGACACGACATTTTTTTGCGCCATTTTTTTAAGTGAATGGTTAAGAAATGAACAACTCGTTTAGTTTGGTCTCAAAACTTTTCTTGGCTCGAATCTGGTCTTGAGTAGGTTTTTTCAACAGTTCGGGTCAGTTTGGGCATGACATACCTGAGGACAGTGCGAAAGCAAATGGTGCAGGGACACTTACGGCACCTGGGTGCTGGTTCTGGCTTGGAAGACCATCACAGATCTTCACAAAATGATGAAAATCATCGTTTGGAGTGTGAACAGATCGCTTACGTACCATGGTTGTGTGGTTCAATGGGGTCCCAAATTCAGATGAGTTGGTTCGAAGGTTTTTGGTTTCGCAATAGATTGGACTGTTGGAACATTGATTTGCCAATGTTCAGTCAGTCTGATCCCTTTTGACTCCTAGAACACTTGCCTCATTTGACTTGCATTGTCAGGTTAAGATTGCTGCAGAGGTTGCGCTGTGATCAGATCAAACACTGGTATCGCGTGAGACTTTTGATGTTTCATTATCCTCCCATGTATATCCAAAGGCGGAATGATCCACCGTCATGGTCATCCAACTAAGAAACATACTCGGACTAAAAAACAGCATCTAGCTAGCTAGAAACATGTTTTTTCCATGTTTTTTGTGTTGCAAAAAATCAATTCCCGTTCAAAATTGCCGTGGTGATGGCTCCGAGGCGTGCCATGTTGCCCCATGCCCAGCTGGATCTGGTGAATTTGGAGGGGCACGACTTGCAGGTGCGCAAGGAGGAAGGCAATCAATATCCAATTAGCGAGTTATGGAAGTAGGTCTTAGTATGTTACCCATATGCTCCATGCATATCCATGTATGGTATTTGTACGGTATATTTACCTACATTTGGGTGATTTTTAGGGCAAATGTTGGTAAATACTCCATACATGGAGCATATGGATTATAAGAGACTCCTTCTATTTGAGCGCGATTTCATGCTCTTTTCCTTATACCAGCTCTACCCGAAATAAGTTTGGATATGAATAGTTTGGGGCTGTAAATCCGACTTTGCTTGGCCACATGAACAGTAGGCAAAAGATTTGATGCCACCCAACAAGAACTAAACTAGTTCCCCCACAAAATGCGAGTCTTGATGCCACCTAAAGTATATTATAGTCAGAAGATTTGCACAAAAAGAACAGATCTCGCATTTTTAGTGCAAAATTCGACCAGATCGGATGCTACCCACCCACCGCGTAAGAAGCTTCACGCATGAGTTTGTTGATCTTTCCACTAGTTTGATTATGTACCAGTACTTCTAAATTCATGAAACTGATGTCAGAAAATCTTGGGTAAGTATTAGTTTCCACCTACTTAGGTAACTAAACCCAACAATTACCCTCCAGTAAATTAACTTTTGACAACTGGGGCAGAAGTTGAGCTTGGAAGAACATCGTTTCCACTAATGGTATTTTAATTCTAAAATGTCCAGGGTCCAATTATTCCAATTGTTAATTTTCCTAATATGATTCTGTGATTTAATAAAAACATTAAAAAAACCTATAACTATAACTATAGCTTTCCTCCTGCGAGCTTCTCCGGAGCTAGGAGGCCTTTCTGGAAGGCGCCAGCCTGCGTGACTTGGCAAACGAGAATTTCTTTTCAGGAGGCTTCACAATAGACCCAGCCATGAAAAAATCGGATAGAACTATAGAACCATTATGTGTTCAGATTATTTACGTTATTTAAAACTATTTACTCAAATTTACTCTATATATATATATGTGATGGTTTGACAATGGAGCACTGGGAGTTTGTCAGCCAATTTGCCATCAACAGGCTGAGGGAGAGATCATAGGCTGTTGCCTCGAAATTTAGGGGGTTCTTTCACGTATGTGTTTTTCGTTCAACCATTTCTTGAAAATCTAGGTTTGTGTTTAACGTCTCACCCGATTGATCCACAAATACATTCTGAAGTACTGTAGTTGCTGGTATAAATCAGGAGTTCGGTACCTTCTCAGGTCCAGGTAGCAACAATGGACCCGGATCGAAATGGGCGACACGGTCCCAATGAAATTGTGCCTTTCTGGGAAGGAAAATCTTAGCATCACTGAAATGAGATGTGGCAGCCGAAAGTCATTTGCGATTTTTCTGGACATTAACTCAATGGGAATTTCAGGATCCTAAATTGGAGGTACCTACCATATATAAGGCCTATGTATGCCTATGTAATTTCCATTGATTGACACACGTCTTTTTGAAATTAACTTGCTGCTTCATTCTGGTTATTCTTGATTGCTGCAAGTCTCAAGTTCTGTAACCGCACTGGTTGGTGTTGGCAGTCACTAAGCCTGGGTAAGTGCAGCACGTAAAGGGTTCATTGCCCACTTGAAGTCTCAACACCGCTGCACCCTACTTGTCGTACCCCTTTTCTTAATATTGCTGGTCCAACCATGTTAAATCAGCATGTTTTGTTGGCTTCCCAAGTTCTGTTGATTGAATCATTTCTTCTCCATGGTATCTCTTTTCCATCCAGTATTATGGATGTTGTGGGTGTCATCGGCAGGCACTTTGAAAAATATCCATCATTAGTTGAGATCCGATGGTAGTTAGAATTACCCTCTGGTTATTTAACATAGCCATGGAAAATGCCCCATTTATAGAGGGTTTACCTATAAAAATGTGATTTTCCATGGCTATGTTAAATAACCAGATGGTATTATATATATAGTTTCTGAACTGACATCACAATATGAAATCCCAACAGAACGGATCATTTCTCTCCATTTTCTCGAGTTAAATCTCAAAATTGGATCATTTCTCCATGACATCATTTTTATATATATGAACTGACATCATGAATCATCATATTCATAGTATGAAATCATTTGAAATCCCCAAGAAACCGTCATTTCTCCATAATTCTTCCCATTTTCTCCAGTTAAATCCCATTTTGATCTCCAGTTTCCACGTCTTCCACGTGGGAAGCGTTGAGCGTCGCGTCGCAGGCAAAGCGCTGCTGCGGCGCGCTCGCTTGGACTTGGCCAGCCTGCGCGCCTTGGGCCGAAGATCCGCCAAATGTTTTTGTTTCGGAGAGAAACGGAAGGGATATTGAACGGGATACATGTTATGATGATATCATATATCCCTATGCTATGATGGTATCATATATCCCTATGTTATGATGATATCATCTTTTGATGATATCATACTATGATGTGGGATATTCTCACATTATGGAGAATAATATATCATGATATGTTATGATGATAGCTCTAATGTATAATGTGTATTGATGTATATCATATAATCATATATGTATATAACTAAAATTAAGTATGGGATAGCTATATCATAATATCATATTCTATATATATATATACCCATATGTTCCATGGTGCTGGAATATTACCAACATTTGCCCTCAAAATCGCCCAAATGTAGGTAAATAATGGTAAATATACCATACATAGAGCATATGGGATATATATTCTTTTATGATATAGCTATAGTTATACATACACAGTATATGATATGATTATTAGATAGATAGATAGATAGATAAATAGATAGATAGATATAGTTAAATAATGTTGAATAACGACGAATTAAATGATCTTTCATTGGATATATATATATATAAGCTACATATGGGGAGGTGTCAATATACTTCTTGGCGTGGCAGTGTGAGGGGGCTGAACATCCTTAAAAATCCCAGCTATTTTCGTGTGAACAGAAGACAGAAGGAGTACACGGATGTGACCAATCGATGACAGACAACTTCCCCTTCGAACAACGATGATAAGAATTGTTCTGGGAACAATAATGATAGAAACCAATAATAGAAACACCAATAGGAACACTAGTAGAAACGATATTTCCCAAGAATAGCCACCAACCTTAGGAACTGGCCCTGGGATGCCCTGGGTAAAACGATATAGATCATGTTGAGAGGTCACACAACGTGTTTGGCTTGGTCTTTCCGGGATCCCGGTGTTGGGACATGGCCAATTTGTTTAGGTCCTCAATGGTGACATTTTCCAGGTCGCATGCTGGATGTTGAGGGTGTGCCCCTCAAACTCTGGTTGCTAGAGTTTCCAAAGGATTGTGGAGATCTGTGAAAAACATCAGGTGTTTCTTGGAAGGTACAGTGGAAACATATCATATAACCGGTTCTTGGATGTTGGTGTCTCATGTTTCTTGTTCAACCATACGTGGGCTGATGATCCCAGATGACTCATGTTTTGTTGCGAAAGGTTGAAGACGCCAACCAGGTAAGTTCCGGGGCAGTGTCCGTCGTTCTCACCTGTAAAAAAAGATTTCCGAAAGACCACAAAAACCAATCCATAGAAATTCCAGAAAAAAATAGGAACATATCACTACTTTAAGTATATAGGATTTTACTTTTCTACCTTTTTGGGAATTGCTTCGAATCCATAGTTGGAACCGCACACTTGGGCCTCCCAGTCCGCCTCGCCAGGCGAAGCGAATTTGACCTCTGCCAATCTTACGGAGGCGCGCTTCTGTCGTGCTATGATGGATGGAGCACAGCGCCCTGGCCTGGCCCCGGCGTGTCGTGCCCGGCGTTTTTTCTCAAGATACGTGCGGCTGATAAATAACGGCAATACATATTCAAGATATGTTAGCTGGTTGGTGGTTTGGAACATTTTTTTTTCGATATATTGGGAATAATCATCCCAACTGACTTTCATATTTTTCAGAGGGGTTGAAACAACCAACCAGATATTCAAGATATGTTAGTGGCAATAGAGTCTATATAGCAATGGGGATGGGGATACAATGGGGAGATCTTCAGGGAAGTGGCTTGGATTTTGGCAATCCTGCAGGAGGAGGGGGGGCCATGACGGATAGACCGATGCGCAACGCGCATGTTTGATGCGTGAATGTGCGTTGGTTTTGTAATCATTCATGTTAGTTTTCTTCCCATGTTCATGCTGGTGATGTCCTTTTTTTTGTATCTTGTGATGCTATCCTCCTTTGAGACTTGGCCATATACCCTTTGCGGTTGGGTACACAGGCATGTTGAAAGTTGAAACCATCCCAAATTTGATCCTCGGCTTGCTCAAAGCCCTAGGTTGGGACAGATTCAGGGAGCATCCTGTGACTTCTCCGAAGCAAGCATGAATGGATCCTTGGCCGGAGTTTGTTCATTGATGGGAACAAATCCTGGTTTATAGACGGATATAGGTGACAGTTCATCATTTTGGGGGTGGCTTGGGTGGTTAGATAGAGGTTACAGGAATCGCAAGAAGAAGGAAGCTTGATGAAGCTTGTCATATCTTTTTGGGATGTCATGCAGGCACCGTAAAAGTGCAAAGCAGCCTGTTTTGAAATGCAAACCCCGCAACCCGTCACGCTTTTAAGTGGGACGCCATAGAGACCGCGAGTCTCGAGTCACACTGCTACAATGCACAACAACTGTAGCCAGTTGCACGATCTTTATACACTGCTAATATTTCTGGATTTGTTTTGTCCTTGTATTGGACTCTTACAAACACCGTTGAACAGCTCTACAACAGCTCTTCCTACCCTTTGCTTTTCCATTTGATGGTTCAATTGCAACTTGCCGTGCCTGCAGCCGTTGTTTTTTCCACCAATGAAAGTGCTGGGAAACGCCTTCCATGCAGTGTCCATTGGGAAGCTATGCTGTCTGTAAATCTGCATCCGAAATATGTTTGCCTAATTGAAGCCACCGTTTGGCAATTTGATCCATAGCTCCAAAACCAGTCCTGTATGCCCACAGTTAGATCTACTAGACAATTTCCTTAGCATGACAAGCTTATCAGCCTATATATTTTTGTTGGCATGGGTGAAAACTACCAACCACAATTGCCTCGTCTACATTCATCTACTCAGCTTTCAGCAAATCTCAAACGCACATTCAGAATGCACCAGCATCAGATGTCCTCAGATCATGAAATCTCTAAGAATCATTCAGATTTCACCATCATCAAATGATATCCCTCAACATATTTGTTTACAAACAAATTGAAAGATCCGTTCTCATTGCCTGCGACACCCATGGCCACCTCTGCCCGCGATGCCCGCGGACGCGGCAGACGCGGAGGAAGCGCCGGTGAAGGTCTTGGAAGATGCTTGGCACAGCAGTTCTGGTAACATGTCGTCAGCAAAACCAATGGGATTTAACCATTGACTCAACCATTGATCTAACCATGACCATGTTGATTTAACCATCCAATATGGCGGGTATAACTGATGTAATAACTGTATAACGGGTTTTGATCCGCAATGATGATCTGGCTGGTTTCAGAGAGAGAAAAAAAAAGAGAGCGTTGAAACCACCAAGCAGTTGAACGGATGCCAACGGATGCCAACGGCAAACCCAGCAAAAAGGAGAATTGATATAAACTGCAAAGATATGGGGATTGCATAGGGGTTTAACGAGCAAAATATGGTGAGGTTTTAGGGATAGGCTACCAGGTTGAAAGGTATTGTGTTTGAAGATTTCACCATGGGCCATTGGCATTTATGACTGGCTCCAAGCCGTGCCACTACCATCACTGGAATTCAAATTACTGTTTGTCAGCCCAGTCGGGTCCTAAAGGCCTTATCCAAACTTTGGTTGGGCAATTGCACTATCACAATACGCATTATTGACCATAATATTGGGTCATGTTCCTTGTGATATCATCATTCATGTGGTAGCATCAGAATCATCATAGTTTGTGAGCAACATCACAAACAGATAAAAGTCATTACCGCTTTTCCAGTAGGATGTTGCGGTTCAAGTTTGTTGGGGGTTGCTATGCCCTTCGGTAATGTCAGATAGCTATTGAAAATCATCGCTTCAAGATGCTTCAAGTAGGTAAATCACCATATCCATAGCGCGATTACTAAATAGCGGGTAATACTTGGCTTTGTCTGAAAATATAGGGATGCCCTATTAAATAGCAATTTTCATAGGGAAAATCAATTCCCATGGTTATATAATTGGGTGGTTCCCCCTATAGGCTTTCAATGTTAACACCAGGAGAAGCTACAGATTCCAGCGAGAGAACGAGTTCCCACGCGGCTGGGCTTGAACATGAGGAACCAAGGGATGGAATGGGGTACCCCATTTTAATACAACCCAAGCGGAGTTTGGGGATTTAGCCTCTGGTAAACTAACGTAGCTGTGAAAAATCACCATCTTCAATGGGTAAATTAACTATAAATGGCCATTTTCAATAGCTACGTTAAATTACCAGAGGGTACCTTGTGACTTGTGAACCATTCTCTCCGATGTGTATATAGATACCACGTGTTTTTTTTTTACTTTGGGGGATCCCAATTGATGAATAGATCCTACGTGCAGATCCAATACTAAACCAGGGGACCTAGCGGTATTTTATATATATTTATCGAATTTTGCAACATGGCAAACCCAGAACCATAAACCATCCGAGTCACCAACTATCTTGTAGAGATCCATTTTTTCTTCACATTTTAGATACAATTTCGGTCAGCCAAACTTAGCCACGCTGAAATATGATGAAAAATGTTATATCAACAGAAACCACAGTGGGACAATCCCAACTGACCTTCCCTTCGGGGCATGGCTTCGCTTCAGGTATCCCTTGGCCAATACGTTGCCTGGCGTCAGGGGGGGCGAAAATCGGCCATAGTTTTGATGGGAAAGACTTGGACCCAAAGATCATGCAGTTCATATCAGTTCATCCACGAATGGTCTTGGGAGGAATGGCCAAGGGGCCCTTCTTAGCATGTGCTACAATTGCAGGCCCCATCGAACCAATGAGATTATAGCACTAGCTACCCACTGAGGAGAGAGAGAGAGAGAGAGAGAGAAGAAAAAAACATTGAGGAGAACAATAGATTGAGGACCACATATGCGCATATATGCGCTATTGTCAAAAATTGAGATGTTGGGGATGGTCATCAATCCACTACTAAGGTGTTCTTTTAATACCCACACATCTGCACAGCTCAGGCACAGTCCACGCACGAGTACCTTGGACTGGAAGAGCTTTGTTGTATTATGAACTTTGTCGTTGGCTCAATTGCCTCCGAATGCCAACCCCATTTTGGTTGGGTTGTAGCCCTGTTAGTAGTCTCACAACAAACTACCCCACATACAGAGTACTAATACATGTATACTGTATACATACATGTATAAATTCTTCATTCCCTGTTCTCATCTCCCATGGTCACCTAGACCATGTGTATGTTGGCACCGGCCGAGGCTTCGACGATGCGCATTTTGGGGTGGCGGATTTTCAGATGCGGCAAGCCGCGTTGACCCAAAAGATCCATGCGCAGGGGTCTGCACCTGGGATTTGCAGAGCTTGGGCCAATGGGGGGATAGCCGGGATAGCCCCTTCAATGGCCATGAAATCCTGGGTGAAATTTGCTTTTGAACCATGGGAACATTTGGAAGCCAACATTCCGGGGACAATTTTTTCGGGGTGCTGGCCCCCAAGATTTGACAGCAGCTGGAGGTGTCTCCCAACGGGAACGGCTGTACCTACACGCGGATGTCTGGCGCCGGAAGTTTTTGTTTCTTGGCTTCAGGAGGCATTCTGCCAGAGAGGACCAGAAGGGGCTTCTGAGTCTTATGCCCGCCCCCAATCATCAACAGCCCAGGGGTGAATTAAAATCTGGGGTCGACATTACACGTACTCTCCCGAAAACCAACGTTGGGCAAAAAAAAATGGGTTCCATGTTAGCGCACCCATGTTAAAATTCATGAGCGGGATAAGGGCTAGGTAGGTGCCATGTTGGCGCTGCTGAATTTGGACATTTTTGCACACTTTTTGGCTGCATGGCATGCTAACATAGAACCCACAAGCTGCCAGTGAGTGTTCATCCAAAAGTTCCATGTTAGCCATGGCGGCTGACACAGGGAGTGACAATCGAAGTATTGAACACATATGCGCAATGTTAAAACTTCAATATGTTACAAGGTGCCCATTCAGGTTCCAAGTTGGGTTCCCGGTTGGTTTGTTTCGGGCGGCTCTGCAAACTTACCACGCTGGTGAAATAATTTTTCACCCACCAGGTCCAAGGGGTGCCCATTCAGGTTCCAAGTTGGGTTCCAGGTTGGTTTGTTCGGGCGGCTGTGCAAACTTACCACACTGTTGAAATAAATTTTCACCTACCAGGTCCAAGGGGTGCCCATTCAGGTTCCAAGTTGGGTCCAGGTTGGTTTGTTTCGGGCGGCTCTGCAAACTTACCACACTGTTGAAATAGATTTTCACCTACCAGGTCCAAGGGGTGCCCATTCAGGTTCCAAGTTGGGTTCCAGGTTGGTTTGTTTCGGGCGGCTGTGCAAACATACCACACTGTTGAAATAAATTTTCACCTACCAGGTCCAAGGGGTGCCCATTCAGGTTCCAAGTTGGGTTCCAGGTTGGTTTGTTTCGGGCGGCTCTGCAAACTTACCACTGTTGAAATAGATTTTCACCTACCAGGTCCAAGGGGTGCCCATTCAGGTTCCAAGTTGGGTCCAGGTTGTTTGTAGGTGAAAATTTATTTCAACAGCGTCGTAAGTTTGCAGAGCCGCCCGAAACAAACCAACCTGGAACCCAACTTGGAACCTGAATGGGCACCCCTTGGACCTGGTAGGTGAATTTGAAAAAAAAAAACAGATTTTATTGATAAATTCTGCACACAACCAGTTTTAAAACATTCAGTGGATCATTTTCAAGGTATTGCAATGATGTTTTTCAAAATATTTTTTGGATAGAAATAAGTTTTTCAAAAATATCCAAGTATGATACCTTCAGCGCGGCACGAAGTGAAAATTGGTTCGGCCGGAGGTCACTAACATGGAATTTTCAGGGAGAACATCTTAAAGACCATTTGGGTTCCAGGTTAACCTGCAAATCACCCTTCAAGTTTGCAAATCGCTTTGTGACAACTTGTTCAACTTCCAGGTTGGCCGTTTCAGGATGCAGTTTGGGTTCAGTTTGGGCCTGCATTGGGTTCCATGTCAGTTTTTGAGTGAATTTATCAAAAAAGTTAGTTGCATGATTTCCTGGGGAACAAAATCCACTTGAGACAGTGCCATAGGTTCATGTTAGCAGACCTCAGGAATAGCATGCAGTTCCATGTTGGATTTGGGGAGTGTAATTGCTGTTTTCCCCTGTCTTTTTGCACATACATGTCAGTTGCATTGACATTTCACATATCCAAATTCATCCTTGGCATGCGTGAAGCTGCCCCTTTTGAAATCTCAAGACATTTGTGCCTTGGAGAAACGGAGAGGACGCGGTTTGGGAGGAGAGACTGGGCTTGCACAAAACGAGAAGTGTAACAAGTTCTGGTCTAGAAGCTCAAACCTGACTGTGATATCAGCAGGTTATGAGCCCAAAGCTCTGACCGAAAACACATGATGATGAGACGTAGAGCTACTCAAGAGGAAATAGCACAGGGAGAAGCAGAGATGAGACTGGCAGAGAAACGTATGCAGAAAGAAGCAGAAGAGAGAGGCGAAAAGCCGTTAGAGGATAGCAAGGAAGGTAGCCACAAGGAGGTTTCAGGTGAGGTGAGTGCTCCTCCAATAGCTGATGGGGTTAGAGAAGATTCCAAAGGAAACTCTAGTCCTGACAATACGTCTAGCGCTGCCCCTGGAACAGAAATGAGAAGGCCACCAACCTTGCCACCAGCAGAGCCACCAAAGTTTGCACCTGAGGAATTTGCGTCGCCTGGACTTAGGACTCCAAAGCCGCAGGACCAACAAGACAAAGGAAGTGAGAAGGCTACCATGTCTTCCAAGAAGGAGACCGGTAGTAACTTGGGTCCTGAGGCATTCGAGAACAAGAAGAGCCAGGCGAGAGCGTCTCCAACAGGGGATGGGAAGGGAACAGATAGGAGAGCAGAAAGCTCGGCGTTTCCACCTCTTTTCACCCCTGAGCAGTTGCAACACATGGCTTCATCCACAGTCAAGCACCATGGTTGTATGGCCAACCTCACTCTGCATTCACACCTAGTGTTCAGAGACCTGCCTTTCTGAGTCTTGAAGAGGATAGGAACGGTAGGGAAATGTTCGAAAAAGATCAAATGTTGGAACAGTTGAGAGAACAGCAGCAAAAAGATCAAAGAGAAAGGGATGAGTTGAGAGGGTATCTAGACAAGCTTGCCGCAGAGAACCAAAAGCTGAGAGATGCCCTGAACGAGTTGAAGAAGCCATCAGAAGGAGGAGATTCGAAGTTCTCAACCCCCGAGGAGGCTGCAGACCCCCTGAAGGATGCTGTAGACCCTCAAGGTCAGGCTCAGAGAAAGTCGATGAAAGACAAGGAGGCTGCAGACCCCCAGAAGATTGGGTCAGAAGCTGCTGAAGGACGCATGAGCGAAAGAGACTTGTTTCCATGGAGGAGTAAGGAGGCTGTAGACCCCCAAAGAAGTCAAGAGCGAAAGACAGAAGGAACGAAAGAGTCTCCAGTGGAGGACTGTGGGTCAGGATCTGGTCTGACCGAGAAGTCGCTGGAGTTCATGGCCATCATGGTAGAGTCAATGAAAGAGATGCAAAAGAAGGTCAGTGAGGGGAGAGACGATGCCGGCATGGTGAAGGGCGTAGAGGTGGTGCGAACAGGCATCTTGGAATTGCCGCCACTTCAGCCTTGCAATGCGTCACAAGGCCCACTTCAACTGGGAGACTGGCTGCTGATGGTGGAGCCTGTCGCCGCCGATATGTCTGCAACAAGTGAGGAGTGGTGGCGCGAGATGACAAAATCAGTAGAGGTATGGTATCAGGCGCACATGGCTCTCAATCCGTTGGATCGGATTGTTCACAATGCCACTCCGCCTCCTGGACTTCAACAAGAGCGCTGGCAACGTCTGGAGCGAAGGATGTCAACTATGCTTCTCCATGCTGTGCCAGAATCAGTACGTGATGAGTTGGTTGCTGGCAGAAAGATGGGAGTTTTCTCAATCCTCACACACCTTTTTCTTACATACTGCCCTGGTGGTGTCATGGAAAAGACTATGCTTCTCAGAAATCTTGAAGAACCGCCAGAGGTGGCGAACATAGGGGATGCACCGGCTGCGCTGAGAAAGTGGATGCGATGGAAGGCCAGAACTGCTGAAATAGGTGCAGTGATTCCGGATGCTGCCCTCCTGCTCAAAGGCTTGAACAGACTCACCAAGCGGGTTCTCGATAGCAACCGTGATCTACAATTCAGGATTCAACTTGCGAGGTCGAGCCTTGGAGTCGATACGACTCCTACTGAGTTGTCTGTCAGCAGATTTGCCACACATCTCTTGGCGGAAATAGAGCAAGTTGCGTTGACTGAGAAGCGCACTGGAGGACAGGGTTCAAGACAGGATGCTCCCAAGTTGAAGTCCCTCGACATGGACAAACAGGACAAACAGGACAAAGGAAAAGGTAAAGGGAAAGAAAAGATAGGAGAAGAAGAAAAGGGAAGACCGGCTTGCAAGTTTTATCTTTCAGAAGGAGGCTGCCGAAAAGGTAAGGAGTGCAGCTGGTCACATGATGTGCGAGATGAGAAGAGGCGTTGCTACACCTGTGGTTCGACTCAGCACTTGTCGTCAACATGCACGAGGTCAAGAGGAGGAGCCAGCAGTGATGCTAGCCCTGTGAGACAAAAGACAGCGAAAGGAGAAGAGGAGAAGTCGTCGTCAGCGAAAGACAGCGAAGCGGCGTCCAGCTCTTCTCAGGACGTTTCCATGAAAAACTTGCTGGAAGAGGCGAACAAGATGCTGAGGTCTTTGTCTACAGGAACAGGGTCACAGGCTTCTTCAACCGTGTCTCCAACGAGTCAAGAGGAGTCCAGAGCTGAGGTGGTTGAGAAGTTACAGCAACAGTTGAACTCTCTTCGAATGAAGACTTTGAGGCTTCGGAGGATGAATCAAGGGACACAACAGGGTCTTCTGGACAGCGGGGCATCTCACTGCTTGAGGCCTCGAAAACAAGGAGAAGATGTTCAAGGATATCGGAAAGTAGATGTGGCGTTAGCTGATGGAAACCGGGTTCAGATTCCCATCACACCTGGAGGGACCATGGTCAGTGAAGACCCCTCAGTCGAACCAATTGTGCCGATGGGAGCTTTGATGGAGAAATTGAAATGTGAGGCGACGTGGAAAGAAGGTGAGTTGATTGTGGTTCACCCTTTCCGTGGACGGCTTCCCATCACCTACGACAATGGCTGCCCACAGGTTCCAAGGCAATTGGCCTTGCAGCTCATCGAAGAACTAGAAAATCAGAAGATGGGCATCGGAGAGAAAGCTGAGGATTTTCAAAGAGAATTTCAGTGGATGAAGTCGTTGGTAGAAGCTCATCCGCTGCTGAGGTCATTGCCTCCTTGGATCAAACAAGGGCTTCCATGTGAAGTGGGAGAGTGGGGACAGCTGCCAGCGAACAAAAGAACGAGAAAGCGAATGAAAAGAGATGGCTTTGTTCTTCATCTTTTTGCGGGCTCTGAAGAAGGTCACACCTTGAAGAGAGGCTGGCAACAAGCTGGAGGACAGGATTGGCAGATCTTAGAGGTAGATCAGGTGAGAGGAGAAGGTCAAGACATGCTGGCAACGACTCCATATGGTTCCCTTCTTAGAGCCGCTTTGGAAGGAAAAATAAAGGGCATAGTAGCTGGCCCCAACTGCAGGACACGAAGTGTTCTGAGACACTACCCTATAGAGGGGAATCCACAAGCTCCGCGACCAGTTCGAAGTTGGGGAGGTGGAGAGTTTGGTGCAGAAGGTTTGACTGAAGAGGAGAAGAAGCAGGTACGAGAAGATGACCTGCTGCTGTGGAGGACTATCTTTCTCTACGTGGTGGCCGTTTATGCTGCCAGGGCGAGAGGAGAAAGCATGGACCCAGTGCTCAGTCTGGAGCAACCTGCAAGTCCCAAACAGTACAAGCCAGAGGTGGTCAGCTTTTGGGACACAACGGAGTGGAAGCAGTTGAAAGAGGAGTTCAACCTGAAGGAGTGCACTTTTCAGCAAGGACATCTGGGTGGAAAGACCGCCAAGCCAACAACTTTTGGTGGGTCGCTTGACTTACACCCAGAGGATTACAAGATCAAAGCACCCAAGCATCAAGCCCGGATCAACGACTCGAAGGAACTGTCAAGATGGCCGCCTGCTGTGATGAGAATGCTTGCAGAAGCGCTGATGAGGCAGGTGTATAAGGCCAAGCCGAAGCTGAAACCATTGTCATGGCAGGAACACTTGGCGATGGGTCATGTGCCGTATCGAAGAGATTGTAGGGTATGTCAAGAAACTATGCAACAGTGTGCCCCACATCGAAAGGCAAAGCATGTGGCAGCTGGGGTGCTGTCCATTGACACCGCTGGACCGTTGATTCCAGCGTATGACCAAGGTGGCGGAAAGGCTCGGTACTTCCTGGTTGGAGCTTTGACATGGAGAGTTCCCCGAGGATTTGAGAAGCTGAAGCAACCACCGCACGAGCCTTTAGAGGGTGATGAACCGAAGATAGAGGAAGGCGATGAAGAAGAAGCAGGAGAAGGCTTTGATGAAGAAGATATTGGCGAACTACCGCCATTGGCCGCTGGTGAGCAGGGGTTGGCTGGAGGAGAGCTAGTCCGCCTCCCAGCAGGCCGCGGTGAAGAGGCGGGTGAGCAGTGGTTGGCTAGAGGAGAGCCAGTCCGCCTCCCTGCCCCACCGCAGGGCGAAGAGGCCGGTGAGCAGGGGTTGGCTAGAGGAGAGCCAGCCCGCCTCCCGGCCCCGCCCGAGGAGGAAGAACCAGGGAAGTTGGAGGAGGAAACAGAGCTGAGAGTGTATAGAATGGCACTCCCAATGGTGACAAAGACAGCAAGGGAGGTGAGCGCGACGGCGATGGAGTTCGTCTTGCGCTTGAGAGCTGACGGCTACCACATTGGCCGCATACACTGCGACCGGGGGCACGAGTTTGAGGGTGCCTTCGGAAGATGGGCCAGAAGCCGTGGCATTTACGTCACAAAGACGGCTGGAGACGACCCGCAAGGGAATGGAAGAGCAGAGGTGGCTGTAAAAGCCATAAAAGCCCAAGTGAGAAGGACGTTGAGACAGGCAGAGCTGGACTCATCTCACTGGCCATGGGCGTTGAGGTACGTGGATGAAATCAACAGGTGTGTGCGCCGAGGAACCACGCCTGACTGGCCGAGGTTTCATCAAGAAGTGCGAGTTCGAAAGCGCACCTGGAGGAGAGGTGCCTTCGAGCCAGTGGTGGAGCGTGTCCACTATCTCTGTCCGTCAATTGAAGACCATGGACATTGGGTACAAAAGCCAGGAGAGCCACCACGAGTTACAAAGTATGTCATGCAGCAAACGACAGAGCCAGTGGACAACTCAGTGTGGGTCGCCCTGGAAAAGACTATTCCCGACGCTTGGAGCGTGAGGAGAAGATTGAGAGGAAAGACAGCAGTAAGAAAGCTGCATCGGTCTCTTCGAGAAGAGAAGGAAGATGAGGCCGAAGACAAGAGAAAGGAGGAGGTGCAGAGGATCCATCAGGTCATAGAAGAAGAAATGAGGTTGATTGTAGAAGAAGAGCCACAGATCGCGGCCGACATGATGCGCATCATTGGAAGCCTGAAAAAGATGGCAACTGGAGATGATGCGACTGAAGAAGTACTTCAGACCAAGATCGTCTCACCGAAGGAAGTTGCTCGCTGTTGGAGCGAGTGGCTTGAGGCGATAGACAGCGAGGTGAAATCGCTGACGGAGGAGAAAGAAGCACTTCGTCAGCTCACAAAGGAAGAGCATGAAAAGATGAAGGTAGAAGCAGAAAAAAGAGGCAGGAAAATTGAGTACCTGCCTTCAAAAGTGGTATTCACCTTGAAGCCGTCACCAGGTGGCGGAAAACGAAAGGCGAGATGGGTTGTCTGCGGAAACTTTGAAGAAAAGAGAGAAAATGAGGAGACATATTCAGGGGGAGCAGACGCCACTGCCTTCAGAGTTCTGGTGTGGGTAGCCTCAAAGTTTGATTGGGTGGGCTGCATCATCGACATCAAAACCGCGTTTTTGAACGCCGAAATGGAGGTCACTGAAGATGAGAATGACCTCCTGATTTTGCCCCCTTCAATCATGACAGAAAAAGGATATCTGCCCAGAAACACAGTCTACAAGCCACTGAAGGCGGTGTATGGATTCCGCCGATCGCCTCGTCTGTGGGGAAACCACAGAGACAAAGTCATGAGAGGTTTGCAGATCAAAGTTCAGAGAGGAGAAAGTGAAGTTGAAGTCTGCTTGGTTCAGCTGGAGTCAGAGCCGAATCTATGGAAGGTGATCCCAATCGAGGGGGAGGACGATATGAGAGAGGCATCCCTGTCAAATCACAAGGTGCTCGGGTTGGTGATGACCTATGTGGATGACATCTGTGTCGTTGGTGAAGACGCAGTGGTGTCGTCACTGATCGAGGCACTTCGGTCAACGTGGACCACATCAGAGCCAGAATGGATTGGTGAAACTGCAGTGAGGTTTTTGGGCATGGAGGTGGTGAAGTTACAGAATGAAAGTGGGAGTCGCTGGTTCATCACACAGGAATCCTACATCAGAGACCTCTTGTCCAGATACGAAAGTGAGGAGACAGTCAGAGAAAGAAGGACTCCAATCACTCGAGACCAATCCATCATGGAAGAAGATCCAGAAACTCCTGCCTTGCATCAAGTCAGGAGGTGTCAAAAAGAGGTAGGAGAGTTGCTGTGGCTGGTCACGCGAACCCGTCCAGACTTGATGTTCAGTGTCGCAAGAATGGGAGCCAATGTCACCAAGGCTACCAAGTCTGTTTTGGAAACAGCGTCTCAGACGAGAGGCTATTTGAAGAGGACGGTGGTTGAAGGACTGATGATGGGAGAACAAAAAGAAAGAGAAGTCTGCATCCAAGCTTTTGCAGACGCATCGTTTTCTCCAGATGGAGAGGAGTCACATGGAAGTTACGTTGTGTTTGCCAACGACAGTCCCCTTTTTTGGAGAAGCGGCAGGCAGACAACCGTGACGTTGTCCACAGCCGAGTCTGAACTGACAGAGCTAGTAGAGGCAATCAGCGCTGGCGAAGCTGTGGCGGTGATAGTGAGCGAATTGTTCCAGGATATCAAGAAGTTTGCCTGGTCAGATAGCCAATCAGCTTTAGCTATCTTGGTTAATGAAGGTGGAAACTGGCGCACTAGGCACTTGAGGATGAGAGCTGCCTACACCAGACAGGCAGTCCACTCTGGTGAGTGGGGTGTGGGCCACCTTCCTGGTGATCGAATGGTCGCCGACATTGGCACAAAGGCATTGGCATCACAGCGGATCGATGTCCTCAAGCAGCATCTTGGCATGTCATCCATCCCAATGCAGCCCAGTGTGATCGCACCTGCGACCTCTGTGGCAGCATTGAAGCCCAGTGTGATCGCTCATGCGACCTCTGAGGATACAAGAAAAGGGATGGATGGTGCGAAGATGTCACAAGCGGCAACGGCCTTGAAGCTCATCACGTTGGCCGCTATGATTTCGGCTGGAAAGAGTCAGGAGGAAGAAGATATGGAAGAAGGACAGAAAGAATTACAGCTCATCATGGCAGCATTTGCCATCCTGGTGGTCTTGATCACTCTTGTGGCCCAACATGTGTGGAAGGTAGGAGTAGGATTGTGGAATCGGGGAAACGAACAGATTCCCGAAAAGCAGATCCGAAGTCTCCCTGCGCAAGAAGGTCGAAGGAGTGATCAGACGGCCGATCAAAGAAAAGCGGGTAGCGCTGATGGTGAGAAGGGGTTGGCTGAACGAGAGCCAGTCCGCCTCCCATCAGGGGACAGGGAGAAGGCTTTGCAGCCCTCCCTGCTGGGTGAGAAGGGGTTGGCTAGAGGAGAGCCAGTCCGCCTCCCCGGCCCTGAGGCGACATCGTCTGGTCTCTCAGGTGGTCCCGGCCCCGCAGAAAAAGAAAGAAAGAGCGGTCAAAAGGCCGGCCAACGAAAGGCAGGTTGCGCTGATGGTGAGAAGGGGTTGGCTAGAGGAGAGCCAGTCCGCCTCCCATCAGGGGGCAGGGAGAAGGCTTTGCAGCCCTCCCCATCGGGTGAGAAGGGGTTGGCTAGAGGAGAGCCAGTCCGCCTCCCCGGCCAGGAGGAAGCGTCGTCTAGCTCCTCTGGCGGCCCCGGCCCTGCACAAGAAAGCCTTGAAAAAAGAATCGAAAGAGAACTGGAAAAGATCAAAGAAGAAGAGACAGAATTGTGACGTCAGGCCAATTTAGCTCCGCTACCACCAGTTCTGATTGAACCGGTAGAAGAGAGTGAAGAAGAAGGTCTTCGATTTCCAGTCATGAGAACGAAGTATGGATCAGTATATCACAGTGCCCTCACTTGCAAACATCTCCAAGGAGCCAAAGTCAACTTGCCTCGAACTTTCAAATGGTGCCAAGTTTGCAGAGGGGTGGCGCTCAGAACGCGAGGGCGTCCACCACCAGGAACGAATCTTTTGTTGTCAGTTCATGGAAACGCAATCCATACTGACGATCGATGCCCTTGGGTCAAAGATGCGAAGCCAACACCATTTTGTTTGACTTGCAAAGAGCGTGAGAGGGGCTAGTTTGAGTCAGGAAATTGGAAATCCCTGACGGAATTCCAAAGGGGGAGTGCTGTTTTCCCCTGTCTTTTTGCACATACATGTCAGTTGCATTGACATTTCACATATCCAAATTCATCCTTGGCATGCATGAAGCTGCCGCTTTTGAAATCTCAAGACATTTGTGCCTTGGAGAAACGGAGAGGACGCGGTTTGGGAGGAGAGACTGGGCTTGCACAAAACGAGAAGTGTAACAAGTTCTGGTCTAGAAGCTCAAACCTGACTGTGATATCAGCAGTAATCATCCCAGAAAGAACAGTAAAACCGTAGTAAGGTAGTTCCCCACATTGACGTGTGGGATTTTATTTTTGGTTCTGTATCCGCTCCTTCCTTCCCGTCCCTCCTCCCTCACACTCTCTCACACTCTCTCACTCACTCACTCACTTCAGCATCACTCACTCTCCCCCACACACCACACTCACTCACTCACTCACTCACTCACTCACTCACTCTCACATCACATCACTCACACACACCACACTCACTCACTCACTATCACATCACATCACTCACACACACACACACTCACTCCCTCACTCACACATACTCACACACACACACACTCAGTCACCCTCACTCGCTCACTCACTCACTCACTCAGTCACTCACACACACACACACCACACTCACTCACTCACTCATTCACTCACTCATTGCCAAGGGGTCGGATGTACGCCCTGGCGTCCCTCTGGCGTCCCTCTGGTGCCCCTTGGTCTCCGCCGCTTTTGCGTGGCAGGCGTGGCACAACGTGCATTGCCAAGGGGTCGGATGTACGCCCTGGCGTCCCTCTGGCGCCCCTCTGGTGCCATTTGGTCTCCGCCGCTTTTGCGTGGCAGGCGTGGCACAACGTGCATTGCCAAGGGGTCGGATGTACGCCCTGGCGTCCCTCTGGCGTCCGGCGTCCCTCTGGTGCCATTTGGTCTCCGCTGCTGGTGCCCCTTGGTCTCCGCCGCTTTTGTGTGGCAGGCGTGGCACAACGTGCATTTCCAAGGGGTCGGATGTACGCCCTGGCGTCCCTCTGGCGTCCCTCTGGTGTCATTTGGTTTCTGCCGCTTTTGCGTGGCAGGCGTGGCACAAGAGATTTCTCGCGTTTGACTGCTAAATTTTCGTCAGCTTTGTCCAAATTTAACGCGACTTGTTGACCTCGCTGACCAGAAAACAACGTATAGCTCTTCAGAAGCAGGGCACGGCAACTGTATCAACTCAGCTCATTCAAATTGATTGCTTGTCAGCTTATCATGGCTTGTTTATTCATGCCTTGTTTGCTCAGGTAATGCTCATCAGAAGCAGGACACGGCCACGGCGATGTATCAACTCAGCTCATTCAGATTGATTGCTTGTCAGCTTATCATGACTTGTTTATTCATGCCTTGTTTGCTCAGGTCATGATGCTGGTCTATGGCACTTGGACCACTCACTCTCACTCACTCACTCCCTCTCACTCACTCACTCACTCACTCCCTCTCACTCACTCACTCACTCACTCCCTCTCACTCACTCACTCCCTCCCTCACTCACTCACTCTCACTCACTCACTCCCTCTCACTCACTCACTCCCTCCCTCTCACTCACTCACCTGTACATGCACATACACACAAACTCAGTCACCATCACCGCTCAGTCTAAGTCTAGAGAAGTTGGTAACATGTGGGGTTATCCGGTCCTATAATGACAACCGTCATTTTTCTGCATTTTTGGGGGGGTTACTACATATCCCACTGCATTCACGCATGTCAAGACCCAAACAGTTGCGGTTAGTGTGTCCCATGATATTTCCACAAAACTCAATGGAATTTCAAAATTGCCCTGGAAATCCCTCATATGTCTCATTATATCGCAATCCTCCCATTATAGCGTACCATTTATATATATATATACACCCTTTTTCTGTGATGATATCACGATATTGGTTGTTCAAATGCACAATCCAATTCAAACACCATTTTTTGTGGTTAAAATATATAAGCCCCATGAGGTCAGCCATTCTTTTCTTGGTTCAAGCGCCATTTTTCTTGGCTCAACCATGGTTTCCCCATGGTTTCCCGTTCGATCCACCGAACTCGGACGTCCTTTGAGGTGCCGATGGCAAGGACTCGGACTACGGCCTGGCGGATGAACAGCTCGAAGCGAAGAATCGGGCGTCGTTAGCGTCGTTCGCATCAGCAAAATTGCTTGTGATGTGGATGGGATGAACATGAATAGAGGTATATATTAATCCCACAATTAGAGGCATTATATATTTAATTGTGTATATTATCCCAATCATATTATAGGGATGGAAATGATAGAGGCATATCCATGGTATATCCCAAAATTTTCAAAAATGATAGGTAATAGATGATAATTGAGGAAATACCATTAATATGTGGAAATCATATTCTAGAGGTATATCCCAACATCATTTCCATATATGAATGGAATATCTCCCACAAAGAGGTATCACCATGGTATATCCCAGAATTAATGTTATATAGAATGTTGGGATATACCTCTATTGGGAGAATGCATGCATAAATGTATTTTATTTATATATATTATAAATCAATCAGTTGCATGCGTGAGATGGATAGATGAGTAAGCTTAAAAGCCGGGGCCAAGAAAAATCGAGGATAATATTGGGATGAACGACTACTACTGAGGGCGGTTGAAACGTGCGAAGATTTCCAGTGGAAGTTGGTGACTTCAAGCCCTCGCAGTATGCCCTACAAAGGTTCGACTGCCTGGCGAGTGGGTTCAAACACAGCCAGCTATATTATGTGTACATTATTATTTTTAATTATTATTATATATGCATGTTGCATATTCATGAAATTTCATGCAATAAGATGCTGAGCCATTCTGCGGATTACCTTGAGTGACTGGGAGGTTCATCCTTTACTGCTCCTCATCTCATCTTCTCCTCAGCATCACCGTTTGATTTAGAATCATCATCATCATCAACAACATCATCATCATCATCGTCATCGTCATCGTCATTGTCATCGTCATCATCGTCATCGTCATCCTCTTCGTCATCCATCACCATCATCATCACCATCATCATCATCACCATCATCATCATCATCATCATCGTCATCGTCATCGTCGTCGTCATCGTCATCATCATCACCATCATCATCACCATCATCATCATCATCACCATCGTTGTCATCATCGTCATCATCATCATCATCATCATCATCGTCGTCATCGTCGTCATCATCATCATCTTCTTCATCATGATCATGACCTTTTTCACCATGATCAGGCAAGACCAAACATGGTTCATCTTATTTTGTGGTCAGGGCTCCACTCTTCCAAGGCAAAGTTCCAGCACAGATGGCGACACCACTGCGGGCTTTCGCTGCTTGGCATCGACCTCGCGACCTTACTATATAACTTTGCCGTAAATCATGAGTTGTAATTGGAAACATCTCAAAAACTATAGGATAATGATGGTTAATGATTGTCAATAGACAAAAATAAACAATACAATTACCCAAGTATTGGTTCACAATATTCCCGTAATTCGCATTGCTTGTGCTTGCGGCTCCTTCAGATGGGATCGGCCCTGGCATTTGCTGTTGGAGCCTAGGCTATGCCCTTCTGATCAGCTGTCGCGGTCCCATTCAATTCAATCCCATGAAGACGCGTATCCATTTTTTTTGAAGCCATTAAAGTCCATCACCTTCACCCTCCATCCAAAACACTTCTCATCAATCATCTATCTATGAAGAAAACCAATTGAATCCCACTAAAATGACCCAGTTTCCCTGAAATCCCCATTGACATGTATAAATTTTCCCCGGGGTCCCCTCCAAAACCATACGCCGCAGGTTACCAAACACTGGCCGGGGAGGCGGCGCATGCTACACTGCCCACCTTGAACGAGAGCCGCAGCACGGAGGACGCAGCAGAGGACCCGTCGCCGGGACGGGCGAGCACCACGAGCGCCTCGGATTCGGAGGATGACATGATGTTGAAGGGAAATTTGGAAAAAAGGGGATTATGACGGGAAAAATGATTTAAGATGATGATGGTGATGATGATGATGATGATGATGATTGAAAGGAAATTTGAAAAATGGGAAAAGATGTTCTTCAGCCCTTCCCCAAAATGAATGGGTCTGGAGTCTGGACCTACATGTTTTTTTTATACCAATTTGATCTAGGTAACTAAATTTTTGATCAACCATCCTCACTGACCCAAGTGCTTCAGAGCTATAAACCATCCAAAATAGGGGTAGTTTTGTTTTGCCCAATATAAACCCTGGTTGGTGGTTTAGAACATGTTTTATTTTTCCATATTTTGGGAATAATCATCCCAACTGACTAATATTTTTCAGAGCTCTGGACCAAAGGCTTTCCAGTAGTAGAGCTGTGCATACCGAACCTTTGGGGGTGGTTTTGCTAGGGCCGTTGCCATGGATCTGGAAGGGTTGACCACGGGACAAAGGATCTCAATGGTCATGATGATGGTGTGTCATGATGCTAAAGGCAACAGACACCTCCTTCAAAGCCAAGACAGGAGAGGCATTCGCATCTGGGTCGTTGGTGTGCTCCCACTCGCAGCAGCAGTCGTAGGGGTAGGTTTCCTGGTGACAGCCGTGCATCCGATGCAGCTGCAGGTTGACACTGCCACCTTTGTCGTTCCTGTGCCGACCTGTGATAGGGAAGCGTTGTATCAGGTGGTTGACTTGTGCTGTGGCCTTGGGGGTTTCTCAGTCACTGCTGGTCGTTTGGGTTTTTCTGTTCGGGCAGGTGTGGATCAAAATGGGCTCTGGAAGCAGTTGTTTGAGGAATCTCATCCTGGTGCTGTCTTTTACAGTGGTGATCTGTTGGATTCCGATGTCCTCCAGGGGTTGTTGACTCAGGGCTTGTTCCATGGGGTGATTTGCTCAGGCATTTCGTGCCAACCACACTCAGTGTTGGGGGACAGATTGGGCATGGCTGACCCACGGGCCCAAAGCTTACCCAAAACACTTAAGGTTGGATGGTTGCTGCAGTCTGCTGTAATAATCCTGGAATGTACCCCTGAAATCCTCCGTGACCCTCAGGCGCAGGAACTTCTGAGAAGATTCACGATTGACACAAGTTACCGACTGACTCAGGCCATCTTGAAGCTTAGCAACACTTGGTGCAGCAGACGTGACAGATGGATTGCAGTGCTGACAGCTCCAGTTGTCCCCATTTGCGATTTGCCGGACATGCCCATGGACTCCATGATTCAGGTTCCACGTGATTTCATCCCATGCTTCACCCCTTGGCATGAGTTTGATCAGAAACAACTGGTTTTGAACCTTTATGAGCTGTCCAAGTACTATCAGTATGCGGCCGGTGGAATTGATGGAGTTTTCATTAGGCCTGGGGAAAAACTGCCAACACTTTTGCACAGTGCAGGTAATCAGTTGTACACGTGTGCATGCGGTTGCAGAGCAGCCTTGTCCGAAACCCGTCTGCGCCAAAGGGGTCTGATTGGTGTACTCATACCACTTGGAAGTTGCCAGACACATATGAACATGGTCATGCAACATGCTAGGTACCTCCACCCAACTGAGATGTGGGCCCTTATGGGAGGTCACCCGGACTTCAAAGTAGGACACAATCTTCGTTTGGCCATGGCAGGTGTAGGGCAGGCAGTTGCACCGGTGATGGGGCTTTGGATTTTTGCTCATGTCAAGCAATGCCTGGACCAAGCTGTGGAGGTTCCACGTTCAGACCCCTTGCAAGTGCTCAAGGAATACATGAGTGAAGTCATCCAGGCATGTCGCATCCGGTGGCCCCTTGCCACATCAGCATCCGATGTTGCTGCCACGGTAGAAGATCCAATCGAAGATGCTGAGACTGCTGCCATGATCACCATTTCCCGGCCGGGCACAGATGAACCCGATGTACAGGTCAAGTTGAATCCAAATGCCACTGGGGCGAAGCTCTTGGCGGCTGAAGTGCAACTCGGTGCTGCTGAGGTGGATTTCCAAATCAGGGTTGATGGTGAGCGTGTCGACCCTGCTCAGCCATTGCAGTCCCAGTCACTTGTTTCGTTGGTGCCTGCCAATTGGGATCCTGCCAAGCTGTATGCCACACATCCGGTCCCATGCTGTCTTGACATTGATGCTTTCTTGCGGTTGGTTCGTGCTTCGGATTCCTTGGACTTGGGCCCTGTCAATGACCCTGCACGTCTGTGTGCTGTTCGTCATCCCAGCATGCCTCAGGTTGAAAGACTTGGTATCCTTTCCCAACAAGGACCGGTGTGGGGTGATGATGAACTTCTTTTTGGACTTACCCAGATTGCTGCCCACACAGATGCTGACCAGCATGTCACAGTTTGGGATCCGTTGCTCGTCTCAGGGTTAGTTCAGCAGGACTCCTCAGCCTCTTGGTCTCAGTTGGTGGCACAGGTGCGTCCAATGGCAACAGTGGTTTCAGCGGTGTTGCTAGGAGGACACTGGATCCCGCTTGTCTGGCGGATTGACACTGTTGGGGCCAAGTTGCATACTGTGGCGGTTACTCCTGAGTTTGAACCAGTTTTGGACTTTTTGAGCAGGGTCATTGAATTCTATCGTGGTGGTGCCCGTGGAATTTGGAAAGCTCACAGCACAGGTTTTGTTCCCAGTGGCCATTGTGGTGCCTTGGTTTTGGGATTTGTCCGTCACTTGTTATGGGGCTGGCCTCTGTGTTCTGATCAAGCAGCTCTTGAACAGTGTGCTCATGAGTTTCGGCAGAACTTTGCGTCTCATCTTGAGGACATGTGTGTGCGACCTGTGTTGGCTGGCCTTGGACTTCCTGTCTTGTCCCGTTTGGCTGAGCTCCTTGTCACGCATGGGGTGTCACAGATGGATTCACAAGCTCGTGCAACTGCTGCGGTGAAAGCATTGGGTGAAACAGGCATTGAGAGAGCACTCTCGTCTGACAACCCATGGCGTGAATTGAAATGGCTTGGCAACCAAAGCAGGCCTCCATTTATGTTTATCAAGCCATCTGAGTTGCAAGCGCAGATCCAGCTTCGTGCCAAAGATCGGCCTGTTGGCCGCAAACAACACAAGGCCCAAAAGACAAAGGGTAAGGGTAAGGGGATGTCACCAAAGCTCAGTGTGGACCCTGCCTCATTGCGCTTGGAGTCTGGGATTTTTCAGAGTGCTGATGGCCATCCTTTGAATCAACTTGGACTTTCGCAGGTAGGCTCCACTGTTTCAGGAGTGGTTGTTACTTCAGCGGCCTCCATTGACCCGTACCTGAAAACCTCTCACCCACTGTCTTCAGGTCCGTTGGCACTGTTTGTGGTAGACATGCTTGAACCTCCTGTCACGACTCTCCCCGTCTCGTCAGCGAGGGTGCCATTGGTTTGTGCGGTCAATTCCGAACCTCTTTTGTTGGATGGATTTCTTATTCAGCTTGGTGCAGTCATGGTTCAGCGTGCCCCTCTCCAGGCCAATTGTTCGGTTCAATCCATTCCAACTTGCGTGGTGAAGGCGATGATCTTCCGAGATCAAACGAATGTGTCTTGGCAAGAGGTGACCTCGCACCCACTGCTGCATATTTTTGCTCAGGTTCCTCCGTTGCAGAAGTGCGTTGATTCTGAATGCAGTGGTTGTGAGAGCTGGCATCGATCATTGGACTTTCCTTTGGATTCACCGGTTTTGGAGCTGTGGGGTAAACAATGGCTTCACTTGGATTTTCGACAGGCACACCCATCACAAGCGGAGCTTTTCACTGCCCATCTCCGGTTGCCAGAGCACATGCAATTGCAGGTCCAGTACTTTTCAGGTCATGCCGGAGTGTACCTTGAACCCAAGTCAATTGATGGTCGTCAGCCCTCACAAGACTTTCAGGTGGTTTGGTTGCCCAAAGCAGATGAGGCACAGCTACTTCTCTTGCGACAGACTGTGCCGAATGTTGTAGGGATGGCTCGCTTAGGCTCCAAGATGGGACTCAGGTGCAGGACAGAACATGCTGCTGAAGTTTTTGCACAACTGCGGCCAGGACATACGTTCCTACCACCGGGCAAGAGACAGACATACCTGGTTGGTCCTTTTGACTTTGGCACCTTGCAGACTTCTGTCGCTCAGGTTTTGCAGTCGAATGGTTGGGTTGCAAAGCCTATCCAGGCTATTGCTGCGAAGACACATGTTCAAGGCCTGATGTTTCGTGTCCAATCCACGCAGGACCCGCCGATGAAAGTCATCCGCATGGCTCATGGGGACGTGGTGATTTCCAAAGAGCATGATGACCCAATGCCTGAAAGGGTGGTTCCCAAGGTTGTTGCAACATCCACCACGGAGTCCATGGTTTCCAAGCCGATGGAAGGGGATTATATCCAACAACATGATCCATGGGCAAAGGCAGCCAGCAAACTCCCTAGTAAGCCTGCGATGTTTCCTCTCAACAACCCGCTTGAGGACATGACCCAGAAGGTTCTCTCTGAAGTGATGGCCCAATTGCCCAAAAATGCCATGGAGGTCGATGGAGACGGTTCCCATGAAGCTCGATTCACTGTTCTCGAACAGCAGGTGCAAGAGTTGCAGAGTCAGACCAAAGCCATTGCGGCTGCATCTCAGCAGCAGGCTCAGGATGCCACAAGCCAGATGCAGGATCTGAGAGGCCAGATCCATCAGCAAGGGGTTCACTTCGAGAATGCCATTGCCGCTCAAGCCAGTTCCATTCAGGGTTTTCAAGATGCGTTTCAGGAACAGTTTAGGCAACAGGTCAGTCATCAACAGACCATGCTTGACACCATGTTCAGCAAGCAGATGAACCAGTTTGAAACGTTGCTGGCCAAGAGGCCACGTCAGGAATGATGGGGCCCAGTCGTTGACTTGACTGCCGCCTGCGATTGGGAAGTTTTGCAAGGTGGTCTTTTGAGTTGGATGGTGGTTCTGGTTTGGACTCTTGGGTTTTGTGGCCTCGTTGGACTTTCCTGGCCTTTGGCCCAGTGGACTTCCGGCCGTTCTTGTGGGGGTTTTTGGACTTGTGCCTCTGGGAGCTGCTTTCCTTGTCTGGCTGACTGGTCCCTGCACTGCTATGACCAGTTCGTGTACCCTGATGGCCTCCAGTGGCTCTGGCTTCTGCTTGTGTGTTTGGCTCATGGTGGTTTGGTGACGATCTGCCCTTCTCTTGGTGTCCGTCTTGGCATGATGGTTACTGCTCCTGGTGCTACTTCGGGGATTGATGATGGTGACCTTTTGTGTGGACTTGGATGGGTCCGACAGCCAGGGGGTCTTCTTTGGACTTTGGGTCTCCTTGGACTTCTATGTCACTTGGCTGTCTGTTGCTGTGGTCCTTTCATGGCTGTGGACTGTGGCTTTCCGTCCTGTCTGACTGGTAAGTGGTTCAGGTTCTTGGTGTGCAAGCCTGTGGCAGATTCGGTCTCCTACGGTCCCCGATGGCCTTGCCTAGTATCATGTGTTGGATCTGCACTGGGTGTCACCTGGCTCGTCACTGTCGTTGACCCTACTGAAAGCCGCCGGATGTTTCGACAATCGGATCCTGACTTAACTTTGGTCGGGGACCTCAATTTTGGACATAAGGTGCTTAAGCTCGATCAGTGTACCTTGTGTGTTTCACTTTTGTTTTGGTTCATCGTTTTCATTTGTGGCAACATGTGGCTTGCACAGATGCGGTCTCGTGGTCATGAAGGTGGATGGACTTGGACTTTTGCCACCGAGAGGCGGACACCTGGGGGTAATCTGCCTTACAGTCGCTGTACAGGTTTTCGGAGGTGGCTGTTTTGTCTTTGCTTGTTTGGAGCACTAAGGGTTGGTGAGGCATCCAATCCCGGCCCAGTTGCTTCATGTGATGCCCAGTGGACGCTGGGTATTGCCAACCCATCCGGTCTGAATGGAAAGCTGGATCAGGTGAACCACATGCCTGGTGATGCATGGATTTTGACAGAGACCCAGCTGTCCCAAAGGGGGATTTCGACTTTTGTGAAAGGGCTCAAAATGCTTCAAAGCCCTTGGAAGTATGCGGTGGCTGGAGCACCTTGCTCACACAGGGCACGGACGGACACGGGGACTCATTCTGGTGTAATGTTTGTCTCTAAGCTTCCTTCCAGAGCACTTCCTCACAGTTTTGATGCGTCTGTTTATGACACGGCTCGGGTCCAAGTTGTCGGTGTTGCAGTGGCCAAGACTTGGGTTACGGTGGGCTTACTTTATGGGGTCCCATGTAATGCCTCCCACAAGCAGGCCAAATACCAGACGGATGCCATGCTTTCTGACTTGGTTGACAGGGTTGGTTGCCAAACCACTGGTCCGAGGGCCATTGGTGGAGACTTTAACTATGGTCCCGAAGAACTTGATCAAGTTTCTCGCTTGCATGCCCTGGGTTTCCGTGAAGTGCAAGACCTGCGTGCCTGGCGTCATGGTGTGTCTGCTGAACCGACTGGGAGGGGTAGCAAAAGAATTGACCAGCTGTGGTTATCCCCTGAGCTTCAAAGGGCTTATGTCGACACCAGGGTTGAATTTGATCACTGGCCTGATCATGCTGCGGTCATGACAACCTTTCAGATGGCTGACATGTCCGAGGTCATCACTGCCTGGCCTCGCCCTGCCCCCTTCCCGTGGCCTGATGAGTGGACTTGTCCTGTTCAGTTGGATCCGTCGGCTGACCTTACCCTTGAGTATGCCAAGTTTTGGTCGCAGGTTGAAACACATGCGTCATGTTGGGCACAGCAGCAAGGAGCCTCAGTTGCCAAGCGGCATTTTGGAAGGGCATCAGTTTTGGCACCACGGCCTGTGAAGGTTTGTCACTGCCCCATTAAGAAGGGGCGCAAGGGTGATGTTCAGCCAACTTTTCATGGTGTTAGCCTTCAACATGCCCGGTATTTCCGGCAGTTGCGGCGTCTGCAAGCACTCAGTGGCATTCTTCGGAAACAGATCACCACTTGGACGGGTCAGTTGAATCGTGATGAGACATGGAAGGCCATCCGACATGCAGCTGGTTTTCCTGGTGGATTTGGGCAATGGTGGACTTGTAATGGCCTTGAACCATCACTTGGCGGTCCTCTCCCTTTCCTTTGCCCTTCGATGGATTTTGTCCAGGGCCTCTTTGTTGGTTTTCAGAAATTTGTGGTGCAGTATGAGCGTGAACTTGCCAGTTACAGGTACCATCATGCAACTCAACGGCGTGCTCATAACATTGGATTTGTCTTTCAGGATTGCAAAGATGATCCGTTGCCCCAAGCTGATACGTTGCTGGATCGGTTGGAGGTGGGGATTGAAGAAGTCCGTCCTGATGACAATTCTCTGGTTTTGGTTCGACCGGTGTCGCTTTTGCCTGATGTCCCAGTTGTGGTTGGTGGTACGGTTCTGGCTGTTGTTGCTCATTCTGAAGATCAAAACTGGGCTGAGTCGGTCGATGGTCTTCAACCAGGTAATTGGCTTACCCAAGAACGTGCGGTTGCTTCAGATGATGAAATACTGGCCCGTTTTGCCAAGGTTTGGAGTGAACGGTGGGTCAAAATGTCACATGTCCAGCCTGGCCAGTGGGATCAGATTTGTGGATTCCTTGAGCGAACCGCCCGGCCCATCACATGGCAGATTGCACCTTGGACTCCTCAGAGATTCCGTATGGCTGTCAAACACAAAAAGAAGAAAGCAGCTAAAGGTCCTGATGGTGTGTCACAAGCTGATTTGGCTGCCCTCCCTGATGCTGCCTGCATTGCCTTGACCCAAATTTTCGATGCTGTTGAACAAGGGGCACAATGGCCGAACCAACTTGCCTGTGGATTTGTTTCAAGCCTTGCCAAACATCCAGCGGCTCAGTCGGTAGATGAATTCCGTCCTGTGGTGGTGTACAGCCTGCCTTATAGGGTTTGGTCTTCCGAAAGGGCAAAAGAGGCTATGAGCTCTCTGGCACCCTTGTTACCCAACAGCGTTCAAGGTGGTGTCCCCTCCAGACAGGCCAAATCCATCTGGTTTGAACTTGCCTCCTCACTTGAGCTTGCGTACTTGAATGGGGATGGGTTGCATGGGCTCCTGATGGATATCCAGAAGTGCTTTAACAACATTCCTCGGTTTCCTTTGTGGTTTGCGTTGACCCTGTTGGACTTTCCGCAACACGTCCTCCAGGCTTGGGTCTCCTTTGTCTCTGGTCAAGTTCGTCGGTTTCGTGTTCGATCCTCTGTTGGGGCTCCCATCCAATCCACCTGCGGGCTTCCTGAAGGTTGTGCCCTCTCGGTCTTTGGCATGGCCCTGGTTGACTGGATGTTGGACTGGTGGCTCAAAGGTCTTGATGTTGCGGTTGATCTCCGCACGTTTGTCGATGACTGGGGCGTGCTGTTTCGTGAGGCGCATGCTTTTTCCAGAATTTGGACTTCTCTGGAAACCTTCACAGGGCAAATGGACTTAGCCATCGATATGAACAAGACGAGGGTATGGTCCACAGTAGCTGATGCGCGACGATCCTTCCGTCAGGGTGATGTTGCTGTGACCTTGGCTGCCAGGAACTTGGGTGCACACCAGAACTTCAGTCGCCATTGCCACAACTCTGTTTTGTTGGCTCGGCTTGCGAAGATGGGCCCCATTTGGAATCGACTGCGAGCAAGCCATGGTCCTTACAAATCGAAGCTCACAGCTATCCATATGATGGCCTGGCCCAGAGCCCTTCATGGCATCACTGTGGTGCACCTTGGTGCATGTCAGTATAAACCACTCCGAGCGGGAGCTGTCAGAGCCCTCAAGGCAGACAGAAAAGGGGCCAACCCCTTCCTACACCTGGCCTCCTCAAGCCTTCAGTCAGACCCTGAAGCGTGGTCGACCTTGCAAACTTTCAGGGACTTTCGGGAGTTGGGTAGTGCTGATCAAGTTGAACCGTTGCTTGGTTTGTTCGCTGGCATGTCGGAGTCCCTTCCGTCTAATGGACCCACAGCTGTCCTTCTTGCTCGGTTGCGTAGGTTGGGATGGGCCATTGGGGGTCAGGGCCTAGTTCAGGATCGCCTGGGGTCCTTCAGCCTGATGAAGATCTCTTGGAATGAGTTGGTGTTGCGTGTGCATCTGTCTTGGGGGATGGTTCTTGCCTCTGAGCTTTCCCACCGTCCCACTTTCCTTGGACTTGACCATGTGGATTTGCCTGAACTGTATCGTTCGCTGTCTGTCTTCAGTCCGGCTGATCAAGTCTTTCTCAGATGTCATCTGGATGGTACCCTGTTCACCCAGAATGCTAAGGCAAAGTTCAAGACGGATACTACATCCAAGTGCCCTTGGTGCCCTGCCAAGGATGGTTTCCATCACAGGGCTTGGATTTGCCCACACTTTGCTGTCTGTCGTGCCCACCTGACTGATGACCAGCGTGCTGTGCTCCCTTCTCTTCCGCCTTGTCTTTTGGACCATGGTTGGCCTGTCCTGCTTCCAGAATGGGAACTCTATGCTGGCCTGCTGCTGAAGGATGATGGACTTTGTCGGATGTCACCAGTGAACCCCCCCTGCGACTGCTGCTCCGAGGTTCTGGAACTGTTTGTGGATGGTACCGCAGCCCATCCGACTGAGGTTAAGCTTCGTTTCGCAGCATGGGCTGTCACTCTTGTCTCTAAGGTTGGTATTCTTGACAATCAACTGTTGATGGGAGGTCATGTTGCAGGGCTTTGCCAGTCCCCCTTCAGGGCTGAGCTCACGGCTGTGGTTCATGCGGTTACATGGGCGGTTGCCAGAGGACAAGCTGTCAGGCTTTGGTGTGACTGCCAGAGTGTGGTACGTGGTGTCAACAGACTTCTGCGTCGCCGCCCTTTGAAGAAGAATGTTCCGCACTCAGATCTTTGGGGACAGTTAGCAGAGGTTCTTTCTGGCCATGAGGAGCAAGTTCAGATTTGGAAGGTTGTGTCTCACTGTGCGATCAACAAAGCGTTGGATCCAGTGGAACAGTGGGCCTACTGGCACAACAACTTGACTGACAAAGCGGCCGAAGACATCAACTATCGGAGATCTCCTGAGTTTTGGACGGTGTGGGAGGGTTTGTGCCATGCACTTAGTTTTCACCGGAAGTTGCATGGTGCAATTCAAAGGGTGCTTTTACAGACATCGAAAATGGCTGTTGCTTCACAAAAGGCTCCGCCTGTGTCTGCCGCTCCAGCCCCAGTGGTGGTTGATGTTCCACCAGTTCCAGCGACGTGGGTTATTCCTACAGTGTTGGTCAAACGATATGGAGGGTACAACATGCAGCTACTGCATCAGGGGTGGCTTGATGAAGGTCCCGCCATGCTTCAGGGTCCTCAACAATTGGGTTACATTGCGGGCATGCAGTTGTTTTACTCATTCAATCTGCACTCTGGTTATCAGGGCCCTTGGTGCTCTAAGAAGGTCTGGTATAGCTGTGAGGCTGATGTACCTGCTCAGGCGAGGACTGCTTGGGGAGCGCGATGTGGCCTTTTCTTGAGGATGTGGAGATGTTACCTCAAGGGTAACAAAATGGTGGTGCCGACCAAAATGGCCCGTCCAGCATCAACCTCCATCTCGCGATGGGTTGTTTGCTTCAAACTGCGCTGGAGCCAAGCTGCTGTAGATAGAATAGACCAGTTCGTTCTGCAACAGTTAGGACGCCAGGCACACACACCTGCTGACCTGGCAGCTCTTTGTGCTGCAAACACCAGCTGAGACCGCGAGAAATGGGGGGGTCACGGGGTCGTGCGACAGCCTCGTGGCTCCATAACAAAGTGTAACAAAGTGTAATATTTTTCAGAGGGGTTGAAACCGCCAACCAGAACCCCAATTGAGGATGCTTGATCGTTGGGTTTACACCGCTAGGCGGTTCCAAGCTTCACCAAGTTCACGTTTGCAGATTCGTTCTGTGTCAAGCAATGTTTAATGGTTTGAACCAGCAAATTTGTTGGGGAAGCTACTGGCTTCATGGGGGTTAATAAGATTTAAGCTGCCAACAGTGTGAAGTGCTTTAGTCATGAAACCTTGCATTGGTGGTTTGATATGCCTGATTTTCTTGCCATTTTCATTGGGAATATTTACTAATCAGCTGAGAATTTGATTTCTTGCATGGTACCTAAAATTTAAAGGTACCAGCAGTTTACTGGAGACAGTGGAGGTTCAACCGCCCAGTAGTTTTTTGACAGTTGTTTGGCGGTTAATGAGCAGTTTGCTCGAGGAGTCCATGATTTTACCGGTCAAATCTAAGTGTTTGGAGTTGATGTTTCCTTTCCCTCATCCCTGTGGGGGGATTAAGCACTGCAACCATCCTTCCAGCAGCAGGAAAAGGGATTTAATTTAACTAATATGATTTCATACATATCACAAGCCAACGACTCGCTGGTTGGATAGTGGTGGACATGACATGATATGATATGATATGATGTAATATCATTTGGTGTGGAAACAAGGGGATGGGCTCGTTTTTCAATTTTGGCCCCCTGTAATCCAGCAGAATGACCCTTGTCTTGGAGGGAAAAAACTGGGTGCTTTGATAGAAGCACCCGCCAGTTGGTGATATGTGTATGCAAACAAATGGCTATGACGCCTGCAAAGTCAATTTGTTTCCATGAATAAACAAAAACCGCGCGTGTTGTTCAGAACCATTTAGAGAGATGATAATTTTTGCCGTTGTTTCTTACCAGCCTGCAGGACACATAGGAGTGCATTTTAAAGTAAGAAAATAGGGATGACGAGAGAGTGAGTTGCCAGGAAAGATGGGGGTACCCTTGGGGAAATGCAATATCTACCCATGTGCGTTGTATTTTTTTAACCAACAAAAAGACTGGGATTTTTCCAGCGAGCCTGTTTGGATGACCGGGTATTGCATTCGATGTCGTTGGTTAGATCTGTTTTTCCCGAGAGCGTCTGAGCGCAGGGTTCTTCCAATAGTGGGGGTCTGTAAAACATCTTCTCATCTTCACATCTCATCTTCACATCCTCTCATCTTCACATCTCATCTTCACATCCTCTCATCTTCACATCTTTTCATCTTTACATCCTCTCATCTTCACATCCTCTCATCTTCACATCTTTTCATCTTTACATCCTCTCATCTTCACATCCTCTCATCTTCACATCCGCTCATCTTCACATCCTCTCATCTTCACATCCTCTTATCTTCACATCTGCTCATCTTCACACCTTCCCATCTTCACATCTGCTCATCTTCACACCTTCCCATCTTCACATCTTCTCATCTTCACATCTGCTCATCTTCACATCTGCTCATCTTCACATCTGCTCATCTTCACATCTGCTCATCTTCACACCTTCCCATCTTCACACCTTCCCATCTTCACATCTTCTCATCTTCACATCTGCTCATCTTCACATCTGCTCATCTTCACATTCTGCTCATCTTCACATCTTCTTCAATCTGCTCATCTCCACACCTCATCTTCATCTTCTTCATCTTCTCTCACATTCTCTCACATATGCTCATCTTTCACACATGCCTCATCTTCACACGCTGCTCATCTTCACATCTGCTCATCTTCAATCTGCTCATCTTCACATCTTCTTATCTTCACACCTGCTCACCTGCTCTCTCACGCCTTTCTTTTTATCTTGCTCTCTTAAGCAGGCCGAGGGTGGTGCCGGCGGCGAGTCACGAAACGTCAACCCTTTCGCACGAAATGAGGGTCGATCGGCAAAAACTGAGGTAAAATTGCGATTTTACTTGTGCTGGAGCAACCCTTTCGCACGAAATGAGGGTCGATCGGCAAAAACTGAGATAAAATTGCGATTTTACTTGTGCCGGAGCAACCCTTTCGCACGAAATGAGGGTCGATCGGCAAAAACTGAGGTAAAATTGCGATTTGACTTGCCTCGGAGCAACCTTTTCGCACGAAATGAGGGTCGATCGGCAAAAACTGAGGTAAAATTGCGATTTGACTTGCCCCGGAGCAACCCTTTCGCACGAAATCAGGGTCGATCGGCAAAAACTGAGGTAAAATTGCGATTTGACTTGCCCCGAGCAACCCTTTCGCACGAAATGAGGGTCGATCGGCAAAAACTGAGGTAAAATTGCGATTTGACTTGCCCCGGGGCAACCCTTTCGCACGAAATCAGGGTCGATCGGCAAAAACTGAGGTAAAATTGCGATTTGACTTGCCCCGGAGCAACCTTTTCGCACGAAATGAAGGTCGATCGGCAAAAACTGAGGTAAAATTGCGATTTTACTTGTGCCGGAGCAACTTTTTCGCACGAAATGAGGGTCGATCGGTAGAAACTGAGGTAAAATTGCGATTTTTCCTGTGCCGGAGCAACCCTTTCGTCTGTGTGTAAAAGCGTCTGTGTGTAAAAGCTTCTGTGTGTAAAAGCGTCTCTGTGTGTAAAAGTCTCTGTGTGTAAAAGCGTCTGTGTGTAAAAGCGTCTGTGTGTCAAAGCGTCTGTGTGTAAAAGTGTTTGTGTGTAAAAGTGTTTGTGTAAAAGCGTTTGTGTGTAAAAGCGTCTGTGTGTAAAAGTGTTTGTGTGTCAAAGCGTCTGTGTGTAAAAAGCGTTTGTGTGTAAAAGCCTCTGCGTGTAAAAGCGTCTGTGTGTAAATGTGTTTGTGTGTCAAAGCGTCTGTTTGTAAAAAGTGTCTGTGTGTAAAAAGCGTCTGTGTGTAAAAGTGTTTGTGTGTAAAGGCGTCTGTGTGTAAAAGCGTCTGTGTAAAAGCGTCTGTGTGTCAAAGCGTTTGTGTGTAAAAGCGTCTGTGTGTAAAAGTGTATGTAAAAGCTTCTGTGTGTAAAAGTTTCTGTATGTAAAAGCTTCTGTGTGTAAAAGTTTCTGTGGGTAAAAGCTTTGTGTGTAAAAGTGTCAGTGTAAAAGCGTCTGTGTGTAAAAGTGTTTGCGATGCAAACTATTGTCTTGCACTTCTCACTATTTTGTCTTGATACTCCTCTTCTCGACTGCCTATAACACAGCTTTCATATACCGTTTCTAAAATTGCATCTCCATACTAACAAGAGAAGACCCTGCTCCTCTACGCTCTCGGGCCATCCGTCGTCTAGTTGTGATCGCACAGTCAAATCTTAAATTATGCTTAAGTCGCCTCAGTCAATGCGCCCGCTCTCAAAATATATACACACCTCTTGGATACTATTTAAATCACTAATGTATAGTTTTTGGATGCAATTACCGTTGTGGTGTCATGTGGTGTTCATCAAACACGGTTTGCTGGGAACCCCACCCCATCCTGGAAATCCCCCATTTAGTTCGATGATTTTTACCAACAGATGTTTTTGCCTGCGGGACCGAAAAAACCCTGCTCGTTTACAACACACGTTTTTTTGGGGGGGGGGGGGGGCATGTCAACGTTCCTTGTACTTCGTACATTATAGTGGGCTACGCTGCAAAGATCTCTGGTGTTGTTGCTACGTGACATGATTCTACGCTGCTGATGGGGTGGGGTTGGGTTGGGGGGGCATGTCAACGTTCCTTGTACTTCGTACATCAAAGTGTGCTACGCTGCAAAGATCTGTGGGATCGTTGCTACATTACTTGTTACCACGCTGCAGAGATCTCTGGTGTTGTTGCTACGTGACATGATTCTACGCTGCTGATGGGGTGGGGTGGGGTTGGGGGGGCATGTCAAGGTTCCTTGTACTTCGTACATTAAAGTGTGCTACGCTGCAAAGATCTGTGGGATCGTTGTTGCGTTACTTGTTACTACGCTGCTACTATCGTTGCTACGTTATATACTTGTTACTACGCTGCTGTGATCTCTGGGATCGTTGCTGACTGCCAGCTGACTGCCAGCTGACTGCCAGCTGGTAACGGTGCATGCGTTGCAGCGATGGCGGTGAAAAGCCAAAAAACGCGCCTCATTTTTTTTGAGGTTTTCGAATCATCAAATCAGCACGGCACTGTGGTAAAATCACCATTTTTGGACACAATGTGCACACCGATGAGCACGGTTTCCGGTCCGGCCGGATGTTTTTGTCTCTGTTTTTTTTGGATAATTATACGAATTATAGATTATTTCCTGTTAAAATCAACATTTACCATCATTTACCATGGACTTCCCAGCTGGCAGTGCTTGATTGCCGAAGGTTTATATTCACTTAGATATGGGCTCATGAATATAACAGCATATTATATATATATATATATCCCATTCCCATCTGATAATCAAACATGGCAAGCTGGAATATTCCCCGTTTCGTTCCATGATTTTCCCACTCAGATCTCTGGGACTTTCCAGCGGCCCACGGACGACGATCCGCCGAGGCAGCGTGTGCAGCTTCAGTGCGCCGGACGACCTGCGGTTTTCCTCCTACCGCCCCACATCCTCGGTGACTTGGAGGGCGACCAAACCTGGATGGGTGAGGACCTTCGACATTTAGATGTCCATCTTATAAATAAATATATATTTATATATACACATACATACATACATACAGACATACAGACATACAGACATACAGACATACAGACATACAGACATACAGACATACAGACATACAGACATACAGACATACAGACATACAGACATACAGACATACAGACATACAGACATTCAGACATACAGACATACAGACACACAGACAGACAGACAGACAGACAGACATACAGACATACAGACATACATACAGACAGACGGACGGACGGACGGACAGACAGACAGACATACAGACATACAGACATACAGACACACAGACATACAGACACACAGACATACAGACATACAGACATACACACATACACACATACAGACATACAGACATACAGACATACAGACATACAGACATACAGACATACAGACATACAGTCATACAGACATACAGGCATACAGACATACAGGCATTCAGACATACAGACATACAGACATAAAGACATACAGACATAGAGACATACAGACATACAGGCATGCAGACATACAGACATACAGACATACAGGCATACAGACATACAGACATACAGACATACAGACATACAGACAGACAGACATACAGACATACAGACATACAGACATACAGACATACAGACATACAGACATACAGACATACAGACATACAGACATACAGACACACACACATACATACATACATACAGACATACAGACATACAGACATACAGACATACAGACATACAGACATACAGACATACAGACATACAGACATACAGACATACAGACATACAGGCATACAGGCATACAGGCATACAGACATACAGACATACAGACATACAGACATACAGACATACAGACATACAGACATACAGACATACAGACATACAGACATACATACATACCTACATAGTACCTAATCGCAGGTGAATGAAGGTGATTATAATATATGGTTATATTAATCCATATTAAGATGAGGTAATCTTAATCTACATCAAGATATCCGTGATACTATATTATTAAACATCAACACGATATTTCACTAATACACACGTATATATACATATATACGTATATTCACATAATATTGTGTAATCCCTTCCCCCTAATATCAAATTTTACTAAACATCCTCAAGAAATCATGGTGAAATAGTGGATGAAGTTTCGTTTTTGGGACCACTTATTTGTGATGTGCGACTTTTCATCTTCTCGGGAGGTCACCCTTTGAGGAAGGTGAATGGGACAATGATTAGCCACGGTTCTTGAAGCCACATGGATGTCTTTGCCGTACCCTCTGGTAAACTAACAGTTTGCTATGGAAAATCACCATTTTAAGGGGAAAATAAACTATTTCTATGGCCATTTTCAATAGCTATTTTGACATAACCAGAGGGTATGTCCCATGTTTCTCTTGAAGGCACACGTAGCCGTAGCCGTTTCTCTTGTTGGATGTCAGCCAAATCCGTGATTGAACTATGCGCATAATGGATCATAATGGATGAGAAACAGCTGATATTTGAACCATGGTGAAGCTAAGAGAGGTAAAAACTAAAATAGTAAAACTTGTAATGTGGGTCATCCAGTAGTAAACCTACCATTTGGAGATGGTTTATACAACCCATTTATGGTGATTTTGGGGATGGTGACCATTTTCCCTTCTCAAAACCTTGGAGATAGTGACCATGGAGACATGAGGATGCCTTGCCTGTCATTCCACTTTCAGTGTCTGGATAGATCTTAGTTGACCTTAGTTGTATATCAAATCAATTCATATTGGCTCAAATTTCCTCAAATTTCCAGATACTGCTTTACAGTTTCTGGACGTTTTTGAGATGGTGTTGCTGCAGATGGTCCACCCAGGCCACCCCGTTTAGCGCGCCCTTTTTGGAGGGTCCTCGACCTCGTCGTTTTCGCGGCCTGCAATGCCTAGAGCGAGTGCCTGTGGCGGTGTGGTGGTTTTCATCAAGGATTTTGGGGTAGAAAAATGGAGGTGTTACGCAACTAAGTTGGGGGATCTAATTGGATCATATTGAATCCCATGGGTTTCGGAATTTTTCACCAGTAAAGCCAGATATGTTGATGCACTTGAAACAGGGATGCGACCCGGTGTATTGAACCATCACATCTGAGGTTTAAGGAACAAGCTGACCGGTGAAGTGGTGAAAACATCGGTTCATGTATTGTTGCCACGTGCTGTGGAAAGCCGGGGATTGAATGTTTCCATGTGCAATGAATTGATGAGGATATAATGAGGATATACTGATACACTATCCAAGAAGGAATTTGCCCATCCAGTGATCCAGTTGTGTTTTTGTTTGTGGCATTTGTGTTTTATGCACCAGCAGGAAATAAATGGCATGTTCTTTGCACAAAAAAAACAGTAGTCACATGCCCCATCACGGATGAAATTCAATGAAGTGTTTGTGGGAGGTTCATGTGAAAAATTCTACTGGTGATCCTGTTTATTGAAAGTTTGTGCCAGTGACTCGCCTGTCCTACGCTATGATTCATTGGCGGATGGTGTCAATATCGTCTTTAGTCGTGACACATCTCATGAACTTGCAAATTTTGTGGGAAACAGAAAGGGGTGAATTTGGCACCGTTTAAATCCACCCATTTGTGGTATGTTTTCTGTTGAACCCAGCACCCCTCCGACCCACCGAAGCACAACGGGATTGGGATCCCAGTTTCCTCGCCCCCAGGTCAAACAATGCTTCATGTTGTCGGACTGATCGAGTGCGGACAAAGCTCAGCGGAAAAGGCTCAGCCATTCGATTTGTTATGTCGAAGGAGTTTATCCCATTGAAATAATATTTCCGTGTTGCCAATGCTCAGTGGTTTCGTGTCATAGTTTATGTATTGTTGATATGTAGGGCTCTTCACTGAATTTTAAGGAAGATGGATTGGCATTTGATCAGCCGTGGCAAACAGTGGGCATGATCTCCGTGAGGGGGGGAAAGGATCAGCGCACTTCCTGTCCATGTCAATTTACATATTCCAAGCCCCTTGAAACACATGACATGTGTTTTTGGGATAGAAACCGAACTCTCTGAATGTGTGGCCGGGTTTCTTTTTCATGCATTTGAGGCCAACCTAGGCCCAAAAAGTGCAGAGTCAAGCGCCAATTGGGGCTAGGTAGTTTGACTACCAAAAGAACTGAGGATGGCTCTGAAGTTGATATTAACTGAGACCTCCACGTTGACCAGGTGCATAGATAGCCTTCAGAGAAATTACAAGCCCTATTTGGCAGGGTCTATTTTAATATTGGGGTGTTGGTAAAAACCAGATACGTATGGCAATGGAAATTCTTTGGTTGCTGGTGTGGCATGTCAGCTCGCTAGGTGGCGAAAACTAGTATGTAGTGAGTTTTATGACTGGTTCTTTGACTTTACAATATATTCCAAAGATTTCAAAGCCCTTTTCCAAGCTGTGCCTATTTCACGGCTTGTAGTGGCTGAGCACAGCCCAGCCAGTGGGATGCCGTTACAATGCCATAGTAATATGCGCTTCTATAATCTTTGATATATTTATACATACATAGATATAGGTATTATATGTTGTATATTGTATTTATATATGTTAAATTATGTATGCATGTGCGTGTAGATATGTATATATATATACGAATATATATATATATTTACATATATATACATATATATACATATATATATATATATACATATATATACATATATATACATATATATATATACATATATACATATATATATACATATACACATACGTGCGTGTGTGTGTGTGTGTGGCATGCGTGTACTTTATGTAAATGTACAATTTCATATGCTGCCATCCATGGTTTCAGCGGTGGTCACCCCGGGCCAAGTCTGCCAAGTTGGCGAAGCAGGCTGATCAGCTTCAGTCGTGAACCTCTGTGACTGTAACGACATGGTGGTATACTTCTGTTTAAACATTATGGTCCATATAATATAATTTATCCAGAAGGAGTGACTTCCAATTACTCTTTTTGGAGACCCTGAAGACATGCAAAGAATCATAAACAATCACTGTGTTGTTGGAATTGGGGACGACGACGGAGCAGAATCCTCTGCAAATGCAGGGGCCGGCCGTTTCACGAGCAGCTAAGGTACCACAGTATGCGGCTGAAAAGTAGCTGTTGCCTGTGAGTAGCACCGGTAGTTAGCCATGATCCTTTCCCTTCTTGAGATTAACCAGACAAGTTCAGGAAAGAAAATCCCAGAAGTCCCAGAAGCATCTGTCCCAGCCATCATTCTTGCAGTTGAAAGTATTGCAACCACTGGAAAATTGTAGGGCACTTGTTTCTCCACAAGCTCTCAAGTCTGGGATCCAGCAATTTGCTAAGCGAACATCCAGCATTTTGTTGCTTATTTTTGGATCCAGCTACCCAGATAGATGGGGGCATTTTGCACAGGTCGCGGTTGATCAATGGTTCTTGGTACTGCACCACGGGATTCCAATGCAGGATGGAAGTGGTGTTTTGATTGATCGGATTGATTGGTTGAAGCTCGTTCGCCCGAATAATCTTGATGGTGTGAGCACGTAAATTCCAAACATGTTTGGCCCTGTGGCCCTGTGGTCCACCTCATGGTGCAGTGCCACCCAACAGCTTGGTAGATGGCCAAACTCACCTTATGGGGGTTAAGTCGGTGTTGTAAACATGTATAGACCCATTGTAGGCACATTGTTTGGGGTTAACTTATGGCACCCCCCAATAAAAACAAACAAAAGTGTTTTTAGGATGTGGTAGGTGATATGTAGGCCCATTTTATTGTTCAGCCCAATAACTGGGCCACCAGTCGCTCTTAGGTGTGTTGATGCGGACCTCGCAGTTGGCCAATGCGAAGTTTCGCCAAGCTGTGATGCAACGAGCCACTGGGAATACAACGAGCGGTGGCGAGTCATGGGTATTCAACCAACACTTGCGTGTTTCAATCCCCAGTTTTTGTCTATTAATATATATATATATATTAATATATCAGATCCCTTTTTGGAGGCTCAATCCGCAATCCTTAGTTATTCAATCCCTGTCGATTGAATCACCTTTGTCGTCGTCGGGATTTCACCAACATGAATCAGCTGAAGGCCAACCTCGGTGGCTGCAAGTTCTCTGACGCCAGCTTGGAGGACTTACAACGCAGAGCCAAACGCCTTCATGGTAGGTAGCTGCGGTGATGTCCCCAGATATGTTTGTTGGTTTATAATTATAATTAATGTTAGTAAAGCAATCATCAACCACCTAGATGTTGATGGTTTATACAGCCCAAAGCAATAATAAAATTGGGGGTTGTTTACTATTGCTTTCCTAACATTAAATCCTCTTTATTAATGTAAATATATCTACCATATTCTACCATGAACCATAGGATCCACCTAGTTCTTTGCATCAATTTGGATGTTTTGAAGACCCAACCTTGCAACAGGAAAGCAAGATTGGCTCATAAATATATGTATGTATGTATGTATGTATATATATATATATATATTTGGGAGAGGGATTTGTGAATGTTGGTAAATGGCTGATGCTAGACAGCGCATGCTCGATGGATTGCATTGTATTGATACACTTAGGTGTGGAATTTCATGGGTCCTAGATGAGCAAACGATGGTAAACACAATTCAGCACCAATCTAGTGAATTCACTGTAAGTAGAAGTGAAACATAGTGAAACATAGTGAAACATAGTGAAACATAGTGAAACATAGTGAAACATAGTGAAACATAGTGAAACATAGTGAAACATAGTGAAACATAGTGAAACGTGAAATAGCGGATTGACAAAGCGCCAAGTAGGTGGTAAGCCAACTGGTGTTTGTCGGTGTTAATCGAAGGGTGGCCGCTCCTTGGTTTCGCTTACTGTTTCCACATAGGATGATGATCCCATGTGATCCCCACACGTTTTATGCTCTGTGATTTGGATCAGTTGACCAGGAGGTGAGTTGTATTTGTGTATTGTCCCATTGGTGAACCCACTAAAACAATATGTTTTACTTTAACGGTCCTCTTTAGCAACTCCATGCGATGGATGATATTGCGTTCCTGGTTTGGATGGAATGGGATGGAGTGGGTATGAGAAACCCAGCTTAGTGGCATATAACCTGCAAACAGTTACTTATTTGAAAAATGTAATAAAACCCAAGAAACAGTTACCATCCCCAATGTTAGCTGGTGCTGAACTACCCATGAGGTAAAGTGGGGAATCGTTCAATTCACTGCGGGTCAGGATGTGGATTTGTGCCACGGCATCCTGAACCAGGCCGTTCTGGAGAACACCAACCTCCGCAATGCGCAGCTGAGGTCAGCGCGGCTGTTTTCTACATAGCTGAGGGAAATTACCAGGGGAATTTAATCTGGATGGATTATAATGACCTTAATCAGACATGGCTGGAATGATGGTTAGGATTTGGGGAATCATCTCAATTAGCTGCAAGTTTCAGCTATTTTCAGGTGCGTGAATTATCATGATTCAGCCAAAATTTGAGAGAAACTAATGCCGCCGGCAGCAAATTCGGCAGCATCCGCATCATCAGCAACATTGGGTTTTCATGCCAAGTTCCCTGCCAAGCTAGCTTTCGTCCCTTACTACTGGGCCTCATGCAAGTATAATGAGATAGTGGATTAGGTTTTTTACCTTCTGGTGATTTGTTACATAGCTGCGGAAAATGGTTGTTATTTGTTTAAGACGAAATCATCGAAGTAAATGGTTCATTTTCCATACCTATGTTTAATGACGTGTTTGGGAAATCATTTGCATACTTGCACGGGTGCTGCAACTGTCCATGGCGAACTGTTGAATTGCCCGGGGGTAATGATAAACCCCAACTAACATGACCACCCTGCCAAATAATTTCGCGGTTGGGAGTTTAGGGTCCACCAAAGTTGGCTCAGAGACCATGTTAAATTGGGGGATGGTAAATTCTGGGGTTGTTGAGTTTGGAGGGTTCTTTTATCACCCACCCCTAAAAATGTATTTTAGGGGGGGGAGAGGTTGGGGAAAAAAAATACATTTACCGTTCTCCAAGAATTTGATTCCCCAGGACCCCCCCTAAATACATTATTTGACCGGTGGGTGTACGTTAAATGTAGGATCCATGGGTCGGGATATCCAACCCCCCCAGGATCTTTTATTTTGGGGGGGTGGTTTAATACATTTTACGGGTTTGGTTTTTCCAGGATCCCCGGGAATGCTTAATTTTTTTCTGGGAATACCCTTCTTTGAAAAATGTATTTTAAGGGGGTTGGGTAGCCGAAAAGCACATCATTTTTGGAAAATGGAGGGAATAGATCTGGCTAAGGTAGTCATTGGTACCCCCTGCAATGCATACATTTCAGAATATTTAAGATCAAGTATATTTCAGCATCCCCCTTGGAATTTCCTCTACAGAATCGGGAACGTTACTTCCTGGAAAATGGTGCATTTTAACCCCCTGACTTAATAAGGGGTACCTACCCAGTGTCAACGCTTAGTGTCAACGGTTTCAATTTTATAGAGGACCTTGGGGCCTCTAATTCTATAGAGATTTCATGTTGAATACAGCACTGAGGACTAGTCAGCAGAGAGTCTTAGGGACTGCGATTCTACAGTGGGATACGTTCTCTTTGGATGTATGTCATGTTCTTCAATTTTATAGAGAAGCATTGGCAGAACCAATTTCCCACAACAATTCTTTCATCATCCTTCATCATCCTTGATCATCCTTGTATATTTTGGAATCATTTGGAATCTTGACATATTTTTGGAAACTTTTGGATACTTTTGGATACTTTTGGGATATATTGGAGATTTGTTGGAGATCTATCATCAGGGTTTCATCAGTTATCATCAGCTATATTCAGCAAATATGTACAATTTTGACATTTCAATATTTTACAAAAGCAGCTTTTTCTGGTTTACAAAGTATAAAAGTGACATTTTTCATTTTGGATGTGTCTTTCCCGTTGTGTCTCCCCAGTGTGTCTCACCGTTTTTGGGTCGAAGTCCTCGAGCCAGCCTTTCCGCCTTTCTAAAAAAGAGCAAACGGATGGAAACAAAGCGATACAAAATGAAACAAAATGAAACAGAGATTTTTCAGTGAACACTTGGAGCCTTTGAACTCTATAAATTTGGGAGTGCATAAGGCAAGCTAGGCAAGACTGGAGCATTCAGGTCAGCTGTCAATGAAGGAGACTTGGGGAACCTGATTTTATAGAAGGCCAACTAACCCCCCCCAACCATCTACGAGAGTGACTTGGCGGCATCGATTCTATAGAGATTGTCAACTTGAAAATACCTTGGGGTCTCTGATTCTATAGATGCATTTTCAGAAAGAGGGTCAGGGCCTCCCGGATTATCATTATAATATTGTCAACACCAACACTCTCACTTAATTCAAAGGGGGATATTTCAGCCATTTTATGGCCCATGGGTTTCAGTAGGTTTCCCAGGAAAAAAAGATCAATTGGATTGAGGTGCAGACCCCCCCATGCTTGCATACATTTAGAAAAGTTTATGTATCCATTGGCTCTTGTCAGTGGTGCCCCCCACAAAGCATACATTTTCAGGTTCAATACCCCTACCAATAATACATTTCCAGCATCTGGCACTCATACATGCCTCATTTTGAGGGGTTACCCCCCCCTAGTTCCCATACATTTTTGGCAAAAAGTGAGGGGGTTAACCCCCCCCTTATGTTCATACATTATCAGAAATGTAGGATCCACCCCCCCCTACTCCTGAACCAGTTGGGGTCGGGGATGTTCTTTTTCACTCGCAGAGCATCACTTCTTTCTAGTGAGGGTAGTGGGACCAGTTCCACGATTTGTCACATCGGCCTACCATTTCTGATCTCCTATTGCTGCCTGAGATATCCTGAGATCTCAATTGGCAAGTGGCTAGTAAGGTAAGAATGTAACAGGAAGCCGACATTTCCAGAGGCAGTCAAGTGCAAGTGTCGTCATGTGTTGTCACCAGAGGGTTGGACAGGTATGCAGAAGTGCGGAACACCACCTTCAAAGGCACCGTGGGCGGAAGTCTTCGAGATGTGTTGATTTGCGTATCGATAGTATCATCTATGAGTTGGTAATGTTATTGATAATGCCATATGAAATCATATGAAACTATATAAAATACATTGCATTAACAATCAATAACATGTTTATATATAGACACCTGTGCAGATGTGTTACGGGGAGATTTTCATGACAGATCCCAGTGATAAAAGAGGCCAGATGGACCCCAAAAACCAGGTTTCTGCGTATCCCAGAATGGTGATGTAACTCTACGCTTCTCATGTCTTTGAGTTGCATATTTGTGATGCAAATGAAGTTGTATGTCTTATTTATATATATATATATATTTATTTATATTTATATTTATATTTACATTTATTTATTTACTATATATAGTACATGCATGTTGTATTTTATATATGGGTTGCGATTGCCAGCCCCATGTGTTCATACGAAGCAAACATTTCTGGATGCCTAAGATTGGCCATCTAGAAGCCATAAACTCCGCAGCCCCCTGGAAGTTCCACCCACTTTGTTTATGAACAATTCCATTTTGAATCGTTAAAGCCTATGAAATCTCCATAAAATCTCCATTTAAATCCCCTTTACATGGATTTTCATCTTAAATCCCTATTAAATGAAAATGAATCCATATAAATCCCTATTCTCCCGAAAAAATGTTCCCATGTTGAATCGGTTTTGCGTTGCCCTGCGCCAAACCCGTGAGTTGGTGAGGCTGCAACCTGGAAGCTGTGGACTTTGCAGCGGCCGATGCCTGGACGGAAAAAAAGGTCATCGGTGAACTCCGTGGCCGATGGCTTTCTACGGTGCCAGCGATTTTTCACCAGTTGAAAACGGTGTTAAAAAAAACATCCCATGATTCATAGGGCTATAACTCCAATAACTATGGTTTATAGGTGATATATCTATAGTTAATGGGGTTTATAAACCAATTTGTAGGTTGAAAAAACCATCCAAGGAATCCAAGGTGCCATGATTTTGTTTGGCTTTCAACATCGTTCAACCATCCCAAATTGGTGATTTTTTTCCATCCGTATGATAAGTCTATGGCCCATATGGCCGTGGAAGTTATATGGTACGACTGTCGGTAGCGATGGGCAAATGACATGTGTGCTATTTTTTGTGTCAAAAAAAGTGCACTTGACAGATGACATGAGAATAGTGGTTTTTTGTTGATACGTTTCATTACACTCATGTCATGTGAACATATTGTATATAATAACAACGTTTTGATCATGTGTGGCTGTATAATCATGGTTTATTCACTGTTTTGACCTTGTCGTATGGAAAGTTCCACATATTGACTCCCAGACACGCTGGAGTAAAACCTTTAGGGCAGCTGGTGCAACATGAAACTTGCTCAACCAGAAAGGGTAGATAGATTCCTGCTGCCAGCCATGGGGACGCCACCTGAGGATTTGCAACAGGTGACAATGATCAATTGCCAGGCGCGAGGGTGAAAGTTATGGGAAGATGGCATGGCCAGGTAGACTGGAAGAATCTGGAAAAACAAATCTATTCAAAGAGGATGGATATATTTCATTTTTAGTTTTTTTAATAAACAATCCATTAATAGGGGTATCCCATTTATGGAAACCCCCATATACCGAACCCTTCAGGGTTCAATGGCGAGTCTTCACCAGGCCGTGCGGCTCCAACTCTGCAAGACTCAGTTGATCCAGGCACTTTTTGCAGAGCTGGATCGAACTGTGGGAAATTATGGTAAACATGAGGAACATGTTGGAAATTTGGCGGAACATGTTGGAATATGTGGACAAAGTTGGAAAATTGGTGGCAAAAAGTTGGAGATTGGTGGCAAAGTTGTTGTTTCTGGGTTCAACATATGTATTTTCTGTCAGCTTCCTGTGAATCAACGCGCTGAAACTTAGGCTGCCCCCAAACCAGCAGGTTCCTTATAAACATTTATCGATTTTGGACCATGTTGGGGACCCACATTTTAGGAAATTTCATGTTAAGAAACTTCCAATTTATATAGACATATATCATGATGGATTCCTTTCTAGCTCACCATAGCTTACCATTTGTGTAACGTTCAATTGCGTGGTTCTTGAGACTCACAGATATGTCAGTGATCCACAGGCTGTCATCAAGAACTCCAACTTGCGTGGGTCCAGTGGGGCAGAGGCTGTCACTTGGCGGCGTCGGGTCCAGATTAGGAGGGTCGCTACAGGCCCTCAAAAATAAAGAATTAATGGGATTGAACCAACAAAAATTGTGATATGCTAGGGATATAGTGGGCTAAAATGGGATATAAGTGATTATTATCCCATGATTAGTGATTTTCTTACTCCCATTGTACCCAAGATATCCTTTCAAACCAAACATTCATTGGATTGGCTTCAGGGAAAATTCAAAGGAAACCCTCATTGTTGAGCAAAACGAGATGGTTTCCAGCAGGTCTTCCCTTAAAAAACAATACATAATATGTCATAATATGCCAGCAGACAAAGCTTGGGCGAAGGATCCTGGCACCCAGGATTTCTCCTCCTCACAGATGGATGATGTGGTCCTTTCAGGCGGGGTGGAGGTCAGAATCTTGAGGCGAGAAGTAGATCTGTGTTTCATTTGAACTGGTTATGGGATTCAGCGAATTGGTTCATGAAAATTTATGAATTGTTTGAGTCGTTTTGGAAAATTATGGGCTTGATCAATGTTCCAATTTCGGCGGAACAGTCGTGAAACCTGGCAGAACCCCGAGCAGCGGGCCTGTTTTGGTTCACGTTCGCGCCATGGCTGAGGCAGTGACTTCAAAAGAAGCATTTGGAAGGGCAGCAAGTTGACCAAGGCTGGTCGGTGACTTTTTCAGGGGTTTTGAATGGTGGTTTCCTAAAATAGGGGGACCCCCAATCATCCAGTATTGAAACCCATGGTTTTGGGGCACCCCCCATAGAGAACCACCAAATATTGCTGACAATTGGTAATCCACTATTTATTACCCATCATTAACCATTGTTAAACAATATTTTCCCAGTTATTAATTAACCAGTTATTTCTACATATTTAAGGGTCTCCAGAGCCGTATTGGAAATGGACATTTGCTGGGATCCCCTCCCTGCTTCCACTGGTGGATAGCCACAAGGCACATGATGTGCCTCTAACCTAGAGTTTTTCCATCATGTGTTCCCCATGTCCAAATCATTCCAAATCATTCTCATATTTGTCCCATAATATTTGTTCTAAGTCCATGAAGCACTTTTCCCACCATGTTTCCATTGATGTTTGCCATGATTCATAGTTGCCTCACAATATTCTCTACAGATATCTGTAGATGTTCCCCTTGTTTCCCTAGATGTCCATAATCTAGAGGGTTCGAATTGAATCAGACCCACTCAACTTTCCATGGTTGATCCATTATATCATGTTCCCGTATGATCAATAGCTTCCAATAGATTTCCATTGATATGATAAGATTCCCATTGACTATAGCTACATCCTCCATAAACCCTAGTTAACCATAGATTTTCCCATGATTTTCCCATCCATTTTCAATGGATTTGCACCAGGTACACCTGGACAACTGCGCCCTCATCAGCGCAGACTTCGCCACCCTGCGAGCTGAGCGATGCCTGCTGGATGATGCCGTGCCTCGAACGACCTCACTGTTCTCCTTCACTGGAATGACGATTAGTAAGGGCAATTATCCGATACAACCTTATTTTCTGGTTGGTGAAATATTATAATTTACCCAGATTTATGGAATTACTATAATTTACCTATATAGATTCACGGAAAATGTGGACTTTTACAAGGGCAAATGAATGAAGTTTGAAGATTTTATGGATGATTATACCTTCAACCATGGAATTTTAGGATCAAAGTTATAAAAAAAAATCATGTGATATGGATTTTACCAAGGAACATGGATGAACAACATTCAGAACTTGTATTCTAAGGGTTTGGAAGAGACAAGATTGTTTGAACAAACGCCGGTGCGTTGCAACTTTATTTTTGCGCAGTCTCATTTTCAGTTGTTGCGTCCCATCATTATTGCGAGAATTGCTAGTGGAACCAGGGACTGTAAGCTGGCCAGCGTGCCGCCTCCCATGTGCCCAAGGACTTGAGAAGCAGCAACTTCCAAGCGGAAACCCGGCTGCCTGGAAGCTTTTGAGCCACTGTGCCATGTTTCTGGCCCAACCTGCCATATGCACAGGACGCAGATCCCCAGCTGAGATGTTCATGGTGTTCATGTTTAGCTTGGTACCTGGCATCTAATAGCAGGCAATGTATTGGTATTTCCCACCCCCTTCCCATCATAGCTTGGTTCTGCGCACCTTTGCAGCATCCCTGGATGGCTGGGATCCATATCTATCATTGTTTGTATCAGAGATTAGCTGTCTGTTCAATAGTCACCACACAATTCACCTCTAAGTACAGGTGAGATTTTTAAACATGATGCCAAGTGGAAGCTACTGGTATATACCCTGTGGCAACCAAAAATAGCAATTGGAAATTCCTTGTTTGGTTCCATGATCTGTCCACATTTGCCAGACCTCCATCGGTGATTTCGTGATTTCCCCATCATTTGCTAGAAACCTCCATTTATCGGTGATTGTCCCATCATTTTCCTGGTGTGTTCCTTCGTTTCCCAAAGGCGCAGCTCAGCGTTTGCAGCTTCAGCCGCTGTCAGCTGGGCGCGGCCCAGCTGCAACGTTCCGAACTCAACAGCTGCGACCTCCAGGAGGGGCACGCGCCAGGTGCCATGGTGGCGATTTTGTGGAAGCGTCATGTTGGAATGGCGTTTATGGATTTTTCGGGGGGGGCATGTTTGTATATTGGATCAAATCATGGGCATTACGGCATCTGGGAAAAAAACATGAAAAAGCAGCTAATCTTCCAAAGGATTGGTGAGCAATCCGAGTCCTAATGCTGAAGCTGCGTCAGTTTGGCGAGGCTACTCGGGTTTTTTGCTGTCCTTCCAGGGTTTTGCGCTACAGCCAGGCGTGCGATTGCAAGGTGCCAAGATGAAAAAGTCCAGTTTGAAGAATCTGGTGGCAGAAGGCTCACTGCACCTGGATGGAAGGGTCATGTGGAAAGAGTAACGACAACAACCTCTTCAGGGTCAAACCACCACATGTGAGCAATGCCAGCAGAAGTCTGCATATGTGCCATGATCCGATGCATGAAAGATATCGCTGTATGCCCAGCTCCTGAGGGAACCGAGGGCTCGAATTTGTTCAAGCCTTATGGCTGGGGGTGTTCAGCAAGCCCCGTTTGCAAGGCTGAATTGTTTGAACCTAAATCAATTTTATCCATCATGAATGGCCTGATACTTACCATTTAATAGAATATGTGTTGTTGATCATCCGACAGAATCCCAGAAGCTAAATCAATTTACCCCAAATGATCCTAGATACCATCGAATATCTATATTATTTGTTGTTATATGTATATATAACCTATTAAACACTATCTCTTTCCACATATATATATATATATGTGGAGGTACGCCACACAGTGTACTCAGATAGATCTATATCATATGATTCATATGCAGATATAAAAACAACATCTATAGGTGTACAAATATATATATCATATTAAACAAAACCGAAAAGACACACTCACACACACACATATATATATATTTGAAGAGATGTTCCATCTATCTTAATGATATTGGCAAACAGGATCTACTTCCATCGATCCGCAAGGCGCCATCCTGGACGATGCCTCCTTCGTGGGCTGCGACTTCGACGGAGCTCAGCTGACAAAGTGCAGCGCCAAGTGACTCGACGTCCGGGGAGGGGGGAAGCGCCTGGAGAAACCAGAGGAAAATGGCGATTTAATCATGGATCTAATGGGATTTCATGGGATTTAATGGAAAACGATGCAGAAGTTGGATGAAGTTGGTAAAATCCAATGCTTAAAGTGTGATTATATAAGATGAATATAGATGAATCACCTTTTCCTGTATCTTTTTTTGTGGTTATATACCTTATGCAGAAGAATTTGGGGATATAGAGTATTTGAAGGTGTGACTCCGAGTGACTCCACGAAACAGTGGCAGTTGATCAACGATTGATCCGTGTTTGGATGGGGTTCTGGATCAGGCTTGAAACGCCTGATGAGGCTTGGGGAAGAGAAGAATTTATTGGCATAGAACCATAGAATTTAGGGATGTGACCACCAAACCAGAGAAGTCAACTAATGGTGTTGGTGATAGGGCCCGCAGAGCGCCAGAGGAATGCCAATTTTCACAACGCCAAGATGATGAGGCTGGGCTTTCACATGAAGCCGGCGGCATCTGGAATGGATTGATGATTGCTGACTGGTGATCGTTTATGGGGCAGGGGTATGTACTAAGATGGAGGCTTCACCTGGTAATTTCCTAGTTGAGATCATCAGTTGGGGGCGCAGGCCAGTGGTTAATGAGTGCAATGGTATGAACCTCCAGAAGTTGGGATATAACCCCTCTAACTAGTTTTATAGCCCAAGCATTATTTCCCTGAAAGTCAAATGATTTGTTTTACTCACCATAGTAGTGATAGCCCACGCATAAGCCAGGGGTAACTTGAGTCATTGGGATTTTCCAGGTTTCAAATTTGTACTTAATGTGAGTCTGTCCAATTTTCTTTTCTCAAGATGTCAACAATCAATTGGACCCCCAGCTTTTGTCAAAGTCTTTTTGGCTTGTCAGCACTCCACTTTTCATTATTCAATCCACCAATCCACTTTTTTGGCCCCGATGTTTGTCCGTTCAATCCTAAATGATTGGATGTCTTGGATGTCTTGGATGTTGGGATTGCAGAGTGTTGAATCACAAGGGTCAAACTTTCAGGGGATCAACGAACCCCCAAGTCGTGAAAATATCGAATTTTGGCAGGCTCACACCATATGATTCTCCAGTTTTTGTTATCTTCTGTTGGTTATTAACTCCTTTGTTCGCTTTGTGGGTATTTTGAATGGCTCGAAATGCCTCCGGGATTACAAGTTTCTGTCTTACATCCACCCCAGGTTCGACAAAATCTTCCATGTCAGTTAAATCCTCAAGTTATATAATATAATATCTTAGTGATATTGCATCAATCTAACTGGGGGTACCCACAAGTGGGATGCCCCGCCCAGGGCGCAGATGCCGAACCTCCTGGCGCCTGCGTCGCGCTGGGACGGCGCGGACCTGACATCGGCACAGCTCAGCAGAGCAGAGCTGAATGATGCCAACATGGCGGAAGCCATCCTGAGGTGCTGGGTTCGGTGAAGGATGACAAGCAAGTTTCTGACTAAGGGAATTGAATCAGAAAAAAGTTTGGCAAATGGAACTATAGTTGATGGGGATATATTGTAACTATGATATAACCAATAGGGAATACATACACACACACACATATATATATATATAGCTCACTATAGGAGGGGATAAAGGGGGGATCTATGATGGCGAGCTTCGGTGAACTGTGGATTTATGGTGGGAACATAAACATGATATAATTATAGTTGACGGGTTGGCATAGGTTCAGCGTTGGGTTTCTGATGATGCAATAACTAGAGTAACTAGAGTTTGATGGTTTGATAAACCAGAACATGCCACCCTCCAGTAAGCTAACATAAACACAGAAACCACAGAAGTAGCTCATTTCCGAAGCTCATGGATTTCCATAGCTATGTTAGTTACAGGAGGGTAATTGCCTTGAGATGGGTCATGTATTCTGGTGAATTCTGGTGTGAATTTCATGGACAAAATGGATTAAGCAAAGTAAGAACAAATAAAGCAATTAGTTACAATATTCGAATGAGTACTATTAAAGTTGTTTAAGTGCTTTCAACTACAGTTAACTACGGTCATTATATGTGTTTCCCTTCAACATATCTGCTATATAGCTCTGAGATAGGGCTTGACCCATCAGTGGCACCGCTTGGGACACCGTCAGATCAGCGCAGCTCTCGTCCTGTGCGCTGCGCAACGCGCAGCTACCGGGAGCCAGCTTTGCACAGGCGCGGAGGTGGAAACCTACCATGGAACGCCCAAACAACGGGTTCCAAATCCATAGAATTCTTATAATGTTGGCTGCCTAATAGTAATAACCCCCCCTATTTTTTTTTTTAAGGGGGGGTCAACCTTCCTATAATAATTTTTGGGAATTTATATCTGGGATCATGATATGTATCTGATAGATTCTCCATGGTTTTGTTGGGTTTCTGTTAGATTCTGCATAGGGTTTGGTTGGATTTCTGAGATGTTCTGCATAGGTTCTGCACGGATTAGGGTTGGTTTCTGTTAGATTCTGTATGGATTTTTGGAACCTTATAGCGGAAGTGGACATGGAAGTGGGGGCAGAGGTGGTGGAGGCGAAGGAGGAGGAGGAGAAGAAGGAGAAGAAGGAGAAGAAGGAGAAGGAGAAGGAGAAGGAGGACAACAAAATTGGAGTTGCGGAAAAAAGTTTCCACTATTGCCATGCCTGGTGCAGGTTTGTTATTGCTATTCTGGGGCTTGCAAAGGGGGTACCCTTTGTGGACCTGTTTTTTTGCTTTTTCAATAAGGGTTTTATAAGGAAATGAGCTGTTTGGTAATTGGATCAGATTTCTGGAATCTAAGCTTTTGCTAATCAAAAGTGAAGGCTGCTTTGAAAAGGATTTGCCTTACTTGACTCTTTTGGCAATACTAAAAGTAAATGGAGCTAATTGACTTTTAGTATCGGAGAAAAAATCGGAGTTGGGAAAACAGTTTCCACTATTGCCATGTTGGGTCCACTATTGGCCATGCCCTCTGGACAAGGTCTGAACATGACTCTTTTGGCAATACTAAAAGTAAATGGAGCTAATTGACTTTTAGTATTGGAGAAAAATTGGAGTTGCGGAAAAATGTTTCTACTATTGACAAGATATCACTATTAGCTAGACAACATTCTATATATACATACATATATATATATATACATATACACACATATATATACATATACACATATATATATACATACATATATATATACATATATACATACATATATTTATATATACATACATATTTATAATTATACACATATATATATTTATATATATATATATGAAAGTGTGTATGTATGTAAATAATATATATATATATATTTACATTTACATGCATATATACACACTTAGAACCTCCAGAATGGATATAGAGTTTGTATATATATATATATACATACATGGAACCCCCTAATATGGAACCTTCAAATCCATGGAACTTATAGGACACTCCCTGGCTGATGGGACCGCCATTGCCATTCCCATACGGAATAGGGGTTTATTTTTAATTCGACTAACAACCTTGTATGGACACATCACCTTCCTATAATGCAATTATTTGGGGTTTGTGTTTGATTGGGGTCTATGTGATCTCAGGAAAGATCAGGAAAGGGTGGTTAGTGAATGTGCCATCATTTGCTGTTGATTCAACTACGACCACCTATGAATTGGGGTTTCACGGCCCAACATTGATATGACAAGGAAGAATGGATTTTAGCCAACAAAAGCAGGGGATTGGTTCCCATAAATGATGAATGGACATGGGGTGCCAAGGAACAGTTCAACTGCCGTGGCAACCACAGCACAAGACATGAACCATCCAGTACAGAAACCTGACAGTGGAAGATTGTGGAGAATCGATGAAAATCACCATGTTTATCGTTGTTTATCCATGTTTATCCATTTTGGACCTGGAAAACATTTGAAAATCGCCAGTGTTTGTGGCATTTCATGGGACAAAGACATCCACGCAGCCCGAAACCTCGCAGGCAAAGGCCGAATGTGCGGATCTCTCTGGAGCAGATCTGCGGAATGCGAAGCTCAGCGGGTTTTCGGATGTGGTTGAGATCGAGATCTGTGGTACCGGATGGTCATGTGGAGGTCTCCCAGTAGCTGCATGGTTTGTAATTGAAAATCCATAAATGGATCATTTCGGGGTACCCCACCATTTTAGGAAACCTTCATACATCAATATTTTATGAAAGATTGATAGAGAATGTCTTTTGGTTATACAACTTATATAAATAAGACATCCTTCAATATATCAAATTAATTTACTTTTAACTTGTGCATTGGCATTTATTATAACTTCAGCCATGTATGTGCAATTCCATGCAGGTCTGGCACCAACATCTGGGATATCCTGGGATTGGTGGAACAAAACAGTAGCATGTGAAAAATCGTTGGCCGCAAGGTGGTTTCTAAAAGATGATAGCTATTGATGGTAGCTATGGGTTGTGAGAGATGAGATGAATAATCTAGTCCGTTTTTTCCTCAAGTCACGTATTTTTCCAAAAAGAAACTGAGTTGGTTTCTGACTTCTGAAATCTTCTGCCCAAAGAGTCCTCAGGACTTTGGATTTTGCTGACTTCAGCCAAGCCAACCTCACGGGCGCGATGCTGCAGAATTCCAGCGGCGCAACCTGGATCCATTTATCCAGGCTGAGAATTCCCAGCCTGGGGCAAACTCAGATGTGGAGAATCACCATTTGAAATAGGTAATTCATCCATACAATGGCCATGGTTTCCACATGTCAGTTTGCCCTATGTTGATGTATTTTGCGTATGCCCATGTCAGACCAGTGCAGATTGAAAATGTTCCGGTCCCTATTGGTTGAATCCCAGATGGTCGCAGTATATCCATGTAAAGCATTTTTTTGGCAGGTTGAAATCCATGATGCCATTAATGGTGGGTAAAATCGGAAGTTGACTGCCTTTTTTGTCCATTCATTCGGATTCTAAGCCCTGACTTTGGTTTGTGAAGCCAATGTATCATCGTTCGCTCAACCTGCTGCCATCCGTCCAGCAATTATTAAGTTAGTTTGCCCCCGCAAATTTCCCAGTGGTTTTATATGTATATAGCCGCCAGCCAGATTTATATAAAGTGTTGCATTTGACAACTTTGATATGTTGATGTCTTAGTTAAGCCACCATCGAAAGATTTCACTTGCGTTAGTTCAATCCCCAAAACATCAATGAACATCAGCCATAGAACCCACCGTGTGATTATCACACACCATTTTTTAAAGACAAAATCATCAGAAGAAAGGTTGACTTGGTTTATGAAATCCACCAAAACCTATGCCATATTTTAGAGTCATCCAAGGTCAGGTAAATTATCAACACGCTGTATGTTTACCATGCCCAGATATTCCAAAACCATATGGCCTAAAAATCATCCGATCATTTATCTTTGACCCACTGGATGGGGACTTTGATGGGAAAACCACTCCGTTTCTTCTAAGGTGGTCCCCCAAACGCTAAGTTGGAGTAGTTTACTTGATCAACTGTTGGGTTGGGGACACAACTGTAGTATTCGTGGGGCGAACATAAAACAACCTTAGCTATGATAAATCAGCTATATTCAGATAGTATCAACTAGTTATAAATCCCCATGTTTCTATGTTCAATCCTCATAATTTTATGTGTTTCCTGTAATGACCTTAATGTTGGTCTAAGTTCACCCCCTGAATATCTATAGTTCTAACCCCCGTACAACCTGTGGTTCCTATAGATTTTTCCTGGTGACTATAGTCAGTACTCATAATGTTCATACAAGAAACCAGCTTAAAACTTGTAAAGACAAAGTGGCCATATCCCATCCAATTTCCCTCAATTTCAACCCATGGTTTCCGATCAATTTTCCCCATGGTTTCATCCACCATTTTTCCATCCAAATTCTCCAGCCATCTCCCACAGTTATAGCAATTTAGCTACTGGATATAAATCTGTGGGATGAAAAACATTCTAATTCTATGGGGTTCTATAGAAGTACTTATAACTGTTATTTCGGTCCTATTCTATTATTCTATTTCTAAGAGCTTTTCTCAGTACTTATAACTTGTAAATAGAAAATCACTATGTTTAATAGGTAAATCAACGAACTCAATGGGCAATTTTCGCAAACTGTTAGTCATTACCAGAGGGTAAATCCCATATCATCCCATTATTCCCCATTGTTAACCCATTGTTAAACCATAAAAAATCACAATTAAATCACCATTTATAGTGGTTAAATCACAATTTTCCTACGGTTTACCACCATTTTCCCATGGTTTTCTTAAGGAATCACCATTAAGTCACCATAAAGGGCTCCCAGGATCACGCCATCCTCACCGGATGCATCCTGGACAGTGCCCAGCTGGGTGGCGCCAAGATGCCTTCGGCGCAGCTCAGTGGGGCGCGGGCTGCGCAGCTGGTGCCTGGGAATTCGCTGGGGGATCATTGGGAAATCATTGATTTTTTGGGAAATCGCTCAACATGGGAGGTTAACTCATGGGAACATCGATAAAAATGAAAAGTTTTTAAGTTGGGGAAATTTCTAAAAATGGAAGTTGTTGATGTTTTTTTCCTATAAATGAAAGGTTTCATGGGACAATCCATGTTCAATGGAGGTTCATGAGAAAATCTCTGCAAATGGTGGTTGCAATAGGAGAATCAATCGAAGTATATGGTTGAAAAATATTTTAAAAGTAGTTGATGTAAGTGATGGATAGTGATGGGATTTTTGGAGATTCAATGGGATAGACTGATATGCATATATATATATATGTGTGTATACAGATTATATGGGATTTGTCTTCTGGTGTCATCAAATGTGGCTGGCTGGGAAATCGTCAGTTATAAATGGATCTAGTTAGGAAAATCATTGCACCACATCGGTATTTCTTTGATTAGCGGAAGGTATATCGAACCTACTGTATGTCTAATCTGAATCCTGATATGTGTTGATTTTCATCGCATCCTTGAGCTAATCTAACTAATTCGTCTAGCTATTTATCTTTCTGCACATCTGCATCTATGTGTGCGTACAAACATATTTATATATATATACGTGTGTATATATATATATCATACGTGTGTGCCCTCTCTCTCTCTCTCTCTGCGTGCAATTATGTACACCCACGTGCATGGTGAAAAATGCAAATTTTCTTCAAGCTGCACTTCTCTGCGATCAGAAATGCCTGCCGTGATATACAGACGTTCCCTGCAACCCAGCCATTGAGAATATCACATCTATTGGTGAAATCCACCATTCCAATAATCACATCAATAATTTGATTTTGATTGTTTAAATTCAGAATTTTGATGGTTAAATCCAATAGTTTTGAAGGTTAAATCCAATATGAAAAAATGGTAAATCTCTAACTTTGATGATTAAATCCACCCTTTCCATGATTAAATCCACTGTTTTAAAAACGATTTCCCCAATGTTGCAGGTTTTTTAACCCCCAACCTGAGACCAAGCTCCAAGCTGCCGAGGTGCTACGCCGCGCCAAGATGGCAGGGGCGGACCTCAGTAAGGCCAGGTCATTTTTCCAGTTCTCCAGTTCCATATGGAATATCCATTGATGAAGTATGGATTAAGTATGGATGAAAATATGGATGAAGTACATTCCATTTCACATATTTATTATGAATATCCATACTCAAAAAATGGGATGAAGTATGGATCATATATGGATTGTAAACAGTAAATCATGTACTAAGTGGATGGGAGTAGTGGACCTGCTTCCGGATGTGAAACGGAAAATTGTGATTTAACCATTACACATGGTGATGGCCTATGATGTTCTGGGATTTGACAGCTGGTTTATGAAATAGCAAAGTTGACTTATATACAATTTGGTGAAGTTGGGTTGATTATGGGAAGATAACGAACTATAAAATTAGATGGGGTTATAAGCAACTCATAACTAGGGGGCCCTTCCTGTGGGTGTGTTTAAGTATGTCATGGGCATTGATTGGTATACTGTACTGGGTAATCCGGGTCCACTAATATCAATATCCATTAATATCCATCAATTAAACACGAGGATTACGAGGGATTGATAGACCATTTCTCTTTGTCTATTTGAACATTCGATGACATATTGACATTTTTGTGGAATTTTGATGAATCTGATGGAATAGATGACTTGGATAAACATATGGATATTAATGTCAACATGAAGAATGTAATCCTGGATTTCCTGATGTTTTTCCTAATGGCATATCGAACAGGACTGGGGCATCGATTAAGGGATTTGTTTAGGCAAATCCAAGTGGAGGACTCAACCAAAAAAATGGTGATCTAATGGGAGGTTAACCACTAAACGTGGTGCTTAGTAGATTTTGATAACAGAAAACTGATAGTTAACTTGGTTTAATTCTGCGGTTGATGGTAGATACATATGTATATATATATATATATCCATGATCAGTGGGGTTGATAATTTCCAATCTATGTATAATATATAATCATTATATACATTCACTTGTAAAAAGGTAGGGGGAACCCAAAGGAAACCATGGAATTTTCACCTTAATTATATGGTTGTCCCGTAGATGTTCACGTATATAAACAATCAAACAAAACTTAGACATGGATGTGCGGAAATGACCTGCAAGTTTGAAGTTGGCAACAACACTAGTTGGTTATCTACCTTTCTGCATGTCAGGTGAAGAAACAACTAGTGCATACGGGTATTGTCATACAACGCACAGTTTAGACTTGTGGAAGAGTTGAGGTTCAGGATCAAATCGGGGAGTAGGACCAAAGTAGTACGCTGCATTGGTCGTGTGACACCAACCCAAGATCAGTATTCCTCCGTTTATGAATAGGGGATGTCTAATTCTAGTGCGGCGGTGCTGTATCACCCCAATTAATGAGTCAAGGTTTATGACGCTTTATGGGTTGATACTATGTTGAAAAAAGAATTGTTGTTGCGCTGCCACCTGCACGTAGCTTGTCGCAGAGGCATGTTTTCGCGCTTTAGAAGCAGAAGCGCTGGAACTGCAAGGCGCAGTGTGGGGATCAGTCTTGACCGACAGACCTGGGGATGTTCAACCAGTTCAGAAGACACCCATGCGTGTTTGCTTTACTAATTTGACTCCACATTGGCATGGCTTCTTCACGCGCAGATTTAGATGATTCGATGTATAGTATAGTATGTCTATGCCTGGATTGATCCATTAAGTTCATCAAGTCAAATACAGTAAACCCTGATTTTAATATGAGTTTTAGATAGTATAGTATAGTAAACCCATAAGTATAGTATAGTATATTTCTGAGTTTTATCTGATGTTGCCTGATGATTCAGCAATGTGAAACAGGATGTTCAAGGTGCAAACCACTTTCAACATCAATCAACACGTTGTGGGTTCACAAGGTGGGCTCCCCCAGTTGTATCCCCCGTTGACCCAACAGTCAACCAAGTTATTTGCACCAAGTTATAGCTATCAGAAACCAACTAGCAATCTCCATTATTGCAAGTTGCATCCTACATGTTGTTCTGGGCTAGATCCCCTACTCTCGTTGTTATCAATCCCTATCAATCCCTTTTTCCCGAGAGCGTCTGAGCGCAGGGTTCTTCCAATAGTGGGGGTCTGTATCTTATCTTCTCATCTTCACATCTTCTCATCTTCACATCTGTATCTCATCTTCTCATCTTCACATCTGCTCATCTTCACATCTGCTCATCTTCACATCTGCTCATCTTCACATCTGCTCATCTTCACACCTTCTTTCACATCTTCTCATCTTCACATCTGCTCATCTTCACATCTTCTCTCACATCTGCTCATCTTCACATCTGCTCGTCTTCACATCTGCTCATCTTCACATCTGCTCATCTTCACACCTTCTTTCACATCTGCTCATCTTCACATCTGCTCATCTTCATATCTGCTCATCTTCACATCTGCTCATCTTCACATCTGCTCATCTTCACATCTGCTCATCTTCACACCTTCTCTCACATCTTCTCATCTTCACACCTTCTCTCACATCTTCTCATCTTCACATCTGCTCATCTTCACATCTTCTCTCACATCTCTCTCACATCTTCTCTCACATCTGCTCATCTTCACATCTTCTCTCACATCTTCTCTTACATATTCTCTCACATCTTCTCTCACATCTTCTCTCACATCTGCTCATCTTCACATCTTCTCTCACATCTGCTCTCACATCTGCTCATCTTCACATCTTCTCTCACATCTGCTCATCTTCACATCTTCTCTCACATCTGCTCTCACATCTGCTCATCTTCACATCTTCTCTCACATCTGCTCATCTTCACATCTGCTCATCTTCACATCTTCTCTCACATCTCTCTCCTTTTTCTCTCTCTCGCCTTCTTTTTATCTTTCTCTCTTAAGGCCGAGGGTGGTGCCGGCGGCGAGTCACGAAACGCCAACCCTTTCGCACGAAATGAGGGTCGATCGGCAAAAACTGAGGTAAAATTGCGATTTTACCTGTGCCGGAGCAACCCTTTCGCACGAAATGAGGGTCGATCGGCAAAAATTGAGGTAAAATTGCGATTGTTCGTGTGCCGGAGCAACCTTTTCGCACGAAATGCGGGTCGATCGGCAAAACCTGAGGTAAAATTGCGATTTTTCGTGTGCCGGAGCAACCCTTTCGCACGAAATGAGGGTCGATCGGCAAAAACTGAGGTAAAACTGCGATTTGAATTGTCCTGGAGCAACCCTTTCACACGAAATGAGGGTCGATCGGCCAAAACTGAGGTAAAAGTGCGATGTTACTTGTGCCGGAGCAACCCTTTCGCACGAAATGAGGGTCGATCGGCAAAAACTGAGGTAAAACTGCGATTTGAATTGTCCTGGAGCAACCCTTTCGCACGAAATGAGGGTCGATCGGCAAAAACTGAGGTAAAAGTGCGATTTTACTTGTGCCGTTCTTGTCGCCTGTGTGTAAAAAGCGTCTGTGTGTAAAATCTCTGTGTGTAAAAAGTCTCTGTGTGCAAACGTCTGTGTGTCCAAAGTGTCTGTGTGTAAAAGCGCCTGTGTGTAAAAAGCGTCTGTGTGTCAAAGTGTCTGTGTGTAAAGTGTCTGTGTGTAAAAGCGTCTGTGTGTAAAAGTGTTTGTGTGTAAAAGTGTTTGTGTTCAAGTGTTTCTGTGTAAAAGCCTCTGTGTGTAAATGTGTTTGTGTGTGAAAGCGTTTGCGTGTAAAAAGCGTCTGTGTCTAAAAGGTCTGTGTGTAAAAGCGTCTGTGTGTCAAAGCGTTTGCGTGTAAAAGCGTCTGTGTGTAAAAGTGTTTGTATGTAAAAGCTTCTGTGTGTAAAAGTGTTTGTGTTACAGTGTTTGTGTCAAAGTGTTTGTGTAAAAGCCTCTGTGTGTACATGTGTTTGTGTGTGACAGCGTCTGTGTGTAAAAAGCGTCTGTGTGTAAAAAGCATCTGTGTGTAAAAGCGTCTGTGTGTCAAAGGGTTTGTGTGTAAAAGCGTCTGTGCGTAAAAGTGTTTGTATGTAAAAGCTTCTGTGTGTAAAAGTGTTTGTGTTACAGTGTTTGTGTACAAAGCCTCTGTGTGTAAAAGCTTTTTGTTCCCGAGAGCGTCTGAGCGCAGGGTTCTTCCAATAGTGGGGGCCTGTAAAACATCTTCTCATCTTCACATCTTCTCTCACATCTGCTCATCTTCACATCTTCTCTCACATCTGCTCATCTTCACATCTGCTCATCTTCACACCTTCTCTCACATCTGCTCATCTTCACATCTTCTCACCTTCACATCTTGTCACCTTCTCACCTTCACATTTTCTCATCTTCTCATCTTCACATCTTCTCACCTTCACATCTTCTCACCTTCACATCTTCTCACATCTTCTCACATCTTCTCACATCTTCTCACATCTTCTCACATCTTCTTTCATCTTCTCTCACATCTTCTCACATCTTCTCACATCTTCTCACACCTCTTGCCCTCTTGCCCTCTTGCCCTCTTGCCTTCTTGCCCTCTTGTCCTCTTGCCCTCTTGCCCTCTTGCCCTCTTGCCTTCTTGCCCTCTCCTTCTTTTCTATTTCTCTTTTGAAGGCGGGAGCAGGGGCAGTGGCAACGAGACGCCACGAAACGCAACCCTTTCGCACGAAATGAGGTTCGATCGTCAAAAACTGAGGAAAAATTACGAGTTGCAAGTGGCCCCGGGCAACCCTTTCGCACGAAATGAGGTTCGATCGTCAAAAACTGAGGAAAAATTGCGATTTCCAACTTGTCCGCGCAACCCTTTCGCACGAAATGAGGTTCGATCGTCAAAAACTGAGGAAAAATTGCGAGTTCCAACTTGTCCGCGCAACCCTTTCGCACGAAATGAGGTTCGATCGTCAAAAACTGAAGAAAAATGGCGATTTCCAAGTCGTCCCGCGAAACCTTTCGCACGAAATGAGGTTCGATCGTCAAAAACTGAGGAAAAATTGCGATTTCAAGTGGTCCGGCGCAACCCTTTCGCACGAAATGAGGCTCGATCGTCAAAAACTGAGGAAAAATTGCGATTTCAAGTGGTCCGGCGCAACCCTTTCGCACGAAATGAGGCTCGATCGTCAAAAACTGAGGAAAAATTGCGATTTCCAAGGTGCAATCGCCAGCCTTTCGCACGAAATGAGGTTCGATCGTCAAAAACTGAGGAAAAATTGCGATTTCCAACTTGTCCGCGCAACTTTTCGCACGAAATGAGGTTCGATCGTCAAAGCTTCTGTGTGTAAAAGAGTCTGTGTGTAAAAGCGTCTGTGTGTAAAAGAGTCTTTGTGAAAAAGCGTCTGTGTGTAAAAGCTTCTGTGTGTAAAAGCTTCTGTGTGTAACAGCGTCTGTGTGTAAACGCGTCTGTGTGTAAAAGAGTCTGTGTGTAAAAGCGTCTGTGTGTAAAAGCTGTGTGAAAAAGCGTCTGTGTGTAAAAGCTTCTGTGTGTAAAAGCTTCTGTGTGTAAAAGCGTCTGTGTGTAAAAGCGTCTGTGTGTCAAAGCGTCTGTGTGTAAAAGTGTTTCTGTGTAAAAGTGCTTGTGTGTAAAAGTGTTTGTGAGCTCTGTGTGTAAAAGCGTCTGTGTGTAAAAGCGTCTGTGTGTAAAAGCGTCTGTGTGTAAAAGCGTTTGTGTGTAAAAGCGTCTGTGTGTAAAAGAGTCTGTGTGAAAGCATCTGTGTGTAAAAGCTTCTGTGTGTAAAAGCGTCTGTGTCTAAAAGGTCTGTGTGTAAAAGCGTCTGTGTGTAAAAGTTTCTGTGTGTAAAAGCGTTTGCGTGCAAAAGCTTCTGTGTGCAAAAGCGTCTGTGTGTAAAAATGTTTGTGTGTAAAAGTGTTTGTGTGTAAAAGTGTTTGTGTGTAAAAGCATTTGTGGTGTAAAAGCGTCTGTGTGTAAAAGTGTTTGTGTGTAAAAGCGTCTGTGTAAAAGCGTCTGTGTGTAAAAGCGTCTGTGTGTAAAAGTGTTTGTGTGTAAAAGCGTTTGTGTGTAAAAGCGTCTGTGTGTAAAAGCTTCTGTGTGTAAAAGCGTTTGCGTGCAAAAGCTTCTGTGTGTAAAAGTTTCTGTGTGTAAAAATGTTTGTGTGTAAAAGTGTTTGTGTGTAAAAGTGTTTGTGTGTAAAAGCATTTGTGGTGTAAACGCGTCTGTGTGTAAAAGTGTTTGTGTGTAAAAGCGTCTGTGTGTAAAAGCGTCTGTGTTTAAAAGCTTCTGTGTGTAAAAGCGTCTGTGTGTAAAAGCGTCTGCGTGTAAAAGTCTCTGTGTGTAAAAGCGTCTGTGTGTAAAAGTGTTTGTGTGTAAAAATGTTTGTGTGTAAAAGTGTTTGTGTGTAAAAGTGTTTGTGTGTAAAAGTGTTTGTGTGTAAAAGTGTCTGTGTGTAAATGCGTCTGTGTGTAAAAGCGTCTGTGTGTAAAAGTGTCTGTGTGTAAAAGTGTCTGTGTGTAAAAGTCTCTGTGTGTAAAAGCGTCTGTGTGTAAAAGCGTCTGTGTGTAAAAGCTCTGTGTGTAAAAGCGTCTGTGTGTATAATAAAAGCGTCTGTTTGTAAAAGGTTTTGTGTGTAAAAGCGTCTGTCTGTAACTTTACGAAAGATACGATGCAAACTATTGTCTTGTACTTGTAATATATTGTTTTGATACTACTCTTCTCGTCTGCTTATAATACATCTTTAATATATTGTCTTGTAATTTAGTGTCTACATACTAACAACAGAAGACTCTGCTCCTCTACGCTCTCGGGCCATCCGTCGTCTATTTTTGATAGTTTTCCCTATTGACTATAGTTATATCATATCCCCTACTACTGTCTTCGAGGCGGCTGCTTGGCGGGCGCCATGTTGCCTGCAGCGCGCTTGGTGGCGGCAAACCTACACGAGGTTGTATAATGGTCGCCGTCATTGAAGCAACAATAGGATTACATAAGGCTTTTTGATGGGATATTCATAGGGGAATATCAATGGATTTTTGAGGGAATATCAACGGTGCTTTTAATGAGTGGATATTGACTGGATCTAGCTTAAGCAACAATGTAGGTACGTATGTGTATATATATATATGGGATCCGTTGTGTCTCAAAAGGGATTTTTGTTGATTATGAACCAAGACTTCTTTCTCAAACGGACATGTTGTTGGTGATGTCTCCACTGCGAAATATTGGGGAGAAAACGGAAAGAATTGTAATAAGTATTGGTAGGGCATGATGATAGTAGTGGTGACAAGTGTGATAATACGATGATGGGAATGGTACTGTGGTTTTCATAAAGTGATGATGGGAGTCTTTATTGTTACTCTTTCAACTGTCAGGATAAACCCACAGGCTCAGGACGTTGATGGCACTAGTTGGCATTGGTGCTTCTGTTCCGGTAAATGAGCATGAGGATTCTTAATGATTCTGAGCACTACCAGGGAAGCAACTCATTCAGCCTGGAATTCCCTCTCTGCACAACATTCGCGGAACTGGCGAGGTGGATTTGCGAGAAGCACAACTTCCAGGCTCTGTTTGGATGACCCTGTTGGTGGATCCTTTGGGTACACACCTGGATTGCAATTGGTTACCTCCACATCTCTATTGGTGAAATATCCGGTTTTTCGCTGGCTGAATGTAGATGTTCGTGGCTTCAATGATTTTTTTGTTCTGCTGGTGGCTGACGACCAGTTTGGATTCTTCTAATCTCAGGGCTTGGTAAATGTCCAGTTTTTCTTTTCACATCACTTTTAAGTACGATATCTGTTGGAGCTATCTCCTTCCAACAGTTGGGTGATGTGAAAAATTAAGACCTAGGTCCCCGGCCCGGTTAAACTAACGTAGATGTGGTGATTTTCCCTATGGTTTCCCTAGGAACATCCTCTCCAAATCTCTCCGTTACTGGTTGATTTTCCACATCGAAAAAGTAGTTACCCTCTGGTTATGGCTAAAAATGCTGGGTGATTTTCCATGGCAAACTGTGAGTCATAACCAGATGTTACCCCTGGGATCCCTAGGGTACCCCCGTATCGTTCCTTCTTCGCTGCAGACGCCAAGCTCGTCCGCGCAGATGTGTCCCGAGCAAAGTTGGACTCGGCGTCCCTTGGCACGGCAGGCTAACTTGATGCGGAAACCACCGGGGATGGGGGGTTAGTTTTGCCTGGCAAAGATTATCCTGATTATCCATTGCCAGCTGGACAGGAACTTGATGGGCGTCGATTTGCGACAAAGCATTTGCAACGGCGCCTCCTTCCAGGGGGCACAGATGCCGCTTACCATTTTGATGGCGCTGTTGGACAAGGGTGGGAATTTCAGGACCTAAAAATGGTGGCATTTGTGGGTATATTCCTTGAAATTTAGCTGCTATAGCCCTTATACATGGTAGGTACCTCAAATTGAGGTTCCTGAAATGATGCCATTGATGTTGCTGATGTCGGGGCATGACCCTCCGGCAATTCAACAGTTTGCGAACTGGAATATGGCCCATTTATGGATGATTTACTCTCCGAAGAATTCAAAATGTTCAATTACCAAAGGGTGAACATACTTTTTTGTGGATCCGCAGTAACATATTCGATCACCCCCAATCCTTTGTGGTGAACTTGGTGAACGTTTTCCCCGATGAATCCTGGTTTGGGATATGGGATGACACCTAGGCGCTCGGCCAAGCTGGATGCTGCCAAGCTTGCGGAGGCTTCACTGGAGAATTCCATCTTAAGCGACCTGGCAGAGATGCTGATGGGCTGTGTCTTTGGGTGAGCTGGTTCCCGTCGAGGCTGAAAGCAGGTTGAAAATCCTCAAACACACCCTCATTATGAGATGAGTTAGATAATGTTATATACCCATGTGTAGCCACAAAAATTGAACGTGGTTTGGAGGACAACTTTCCTGTTTGACATTTGTCTACATCAAATCATTGGGGGCTTCACCGGAAAGTTATAGTTATTGCCATCTGGTTATGACTAACATAGCCATGGAAAATCACCATGCCATTAATAGGTAAACCATCTATTTCGATTAGGGCCATCGAAAAACCATGGCTAGCCCTGTGAATGTCATAACCAAATGGTAGAAGCTTACCCTTTGGTAATCAAACATGGCGCCATGGAGAATACCTCCCTAAACGCCGCGGCGCCTGAAACAGGTGGCAGCACCTTGACTCACACAGATCTACAAGGCGGATCCGCTGGAGAGTCCTGGAAAATCGGAGCCACTGAGCCACTGGCCAATCTTGGAATATCTTGGATACCTTGCGATTCAGAAATGATGTTGTTAGCTGTTCAGTACAACTGCCATGAATATCATGAATACTGTATGGCATATTCTCAAAACACAAGACTACGTTTCCAATAGGTCTAGTCTGTCAAGCCCCCGAGATGCACTGAAAGCATGTCCACCTTCCAAGCGAAATCCTATTTGTTGGTGGTTGCCCTCCCTACATTGACCATGGAACGGGAAGAAAGGGCCCCAACAAAAATTTTGTTGGTGGTCAACTTCTGTGGGTTGTCGTGGCTGCACGAGGTGTGCAGGCACGGGATGCGCGGTTACTGGAAGCCGACCTCTCCTTCAGCACTGGTGGGGGGTCAAGGGTTGAGCCGCTGAGCCCTGGAAGAACGAGACTTCTACCGACCAAAATCTGAGTTGATATCCCAGAAATTTCAAACATGGAGCATGTAGTTAAGCAGCAAAATTGGGATTAAACCTGTATGAACCAGAGAAAATGGTGGTGTACCCTTCCTGTGAGATAACATAGAGAGTCTGGCGCATGGCACCCCGTCATTTGTAGGTGTTTCCTTCCCTTCTTCAGTATGAAGGCCTAAGCAACAGACAATGGGATATATGGGATTTGATTGACGAACGCGCAGAGGATTTAAACCAAATCCACGGGGATATACCCGGTTATTTAACATAGCGATGGAAAATCACCGTTTTAATAGGTAAATCATCTATAAATGGGCCATTTCCCATGGCTATGTTAAATAACCAGAGGGTATTTTGAAAAAAATGATGGATTGTTGCCATCATATCCCATTCATCTCCCACGTGATCTTCCGCATCTACCAATGGCCAGGTCGTAAAGCGGTCTTTTCCGGCGCGGACCTGCGGAAGACCAAGGTCATTGGATGCCAACTCGAGGAGGTCCCGCGGATGGGATTGCTTGGGAAGCTTGGTCATCCGGGGGATGTGGATGTCAATTACTCTAAAACACTCGGTTGCATGACTGAAATCCGAAATTGTTAGTTTGAAGCAACAGGGTGAATGGTGGGTCAATGGGGATGTTTGAGAAGTTTTGATGGATAAATACTTGACATGACAGTGTAGATTAGCTGTTTGAAGTGGTACCTAATTAAACTTTGCCATGCAACAGCCCTGAAACAGCTACAACCTGGACAGTTGTTGGACGTGACATATCGGATTGATGGTTGATTCGATGATGTCATCCAGGCATTCATCCCCATGCTGGTTGGTTGAATCACCTTTTCTGTGGGTTACGTTCACCCTTTGGTTGGTGATATTCCCAACTTTTGTTGCTTAAGCTACACTCTTTTTTTCCCCGTCATACACTGGTCCCTAGAAGCTAGCAGCCAGCAGCTAGCAGCCAGCTCTTCCAGGATCGTGTAGATCAATGATGGCTACCCCAAAATTTCATTCAATTTCAAGGTTTCCAAAACTTGCAAATCTCTGTTGAGGTTGCTAAGAAACCCACCCCAATCCCTGGATCCCGTTGCTTCAGGCTAACTTTGATGACACTAACCTGGTTGAGGCCTCCTTGAGGACACCTTTGATGAAAGGGGCTCGTTTTTAGGGGATTTGACACGAAAAATGTGACTTTAATAGGTTCGTTTAACAAGATTGGATAGTTTGAACATGTTGAAACAAAAGCGAGCCTGGGAAATCTTCTTCACAAGCAAGATGTTGATTTAACAGTCAGGAATGGGGATATGAAGCAATTCAAGCCTTTTTTTAACAAACAGAAGGGGGTTTGACCCAAGCCAAGTGCTGCTGCTTTCCGTAGAAATAGTGGTGAACCCGCCTTGTAGACTTCACTAGCTGTGAGTTCGCCACCTGATGGTAGCTGAAATCAATAGGCTATGGGTCAAAATTACTGACACCAGGAATGGATTAGTTCAGATCCTAAGACTGGCCTTGTTTTCTTTGATTGCATTCCATTGCTACTTTTGGTGGTTAACCCAATTCCATAGTCTTATCAGTAAAATCCCAACCTATGTTTGGTAAATCACCATCTTTGTTGCTCCCCATTCTTGCCAGTTGATCTCCCCACTTGGAGGATCACAAGTCCCCATTCAGGGGGTCTTCCCATTGATATAATGGCCGCGCTAACCCTATTTATTCACCAGTTAAGTGACTAATCATCATTGGCTAAATATTTCATATTAATTTTTGGTTGAATCCCAAGTATATATATATATGTATGTATATATTATGTTTATATGTATATTAATATATGTATATATCACATGATATTTGCATGATTTTCCCATCGCAGCAACCCCACAATTGGATAGAACGTGAGAAACTGGGAGTGCTGCGGTGTAAATATCATCTCTACCATTCTGGAAGAACTGTTCGGCATCTCGTTGAAATTACTTTGTGGTTAAGCCCAGTTACTAAGTCGCTAAGTGGGTTAGTTCACCTTCTCCGTCGGGGAAGAGTCCAGTGATTTGAGTGGAGTTTTCCTAGGGAAACCATGGTTTTTCACATCAACCCTACATTTTCCTAGGGAAATCCTAGGTTTTGCCACCAAAAACCCGACCCCCCTGGACCGAGCATACCGAGTTGCGGGCGGTGACTCCAGGACGTCGAAGATCTGCTGGAGCTCCATGTTACGGGCGCGCATGGGAAGAGCAGCCGCTCGGCGCTGGACTGATGGTACCATGGAATCACTCACAACTGTATAATGGTGATAATTATCATATTAACTAATATAATATATATACATTATAGTAATATATATATATACATATACACTCTATAATAATGGTGATAATTATAATGGAGATAATATAATCACTGTATAACATTGGTGATAATATACCGCATCATATTGGTGATTATTATACTGCTGATTGGCCCAAGTAGATAAGCCAATGATAGATACCACTCACCAATCAGAATATTGGTGACATATATTTTGTAAGCAACTCAGAAGAATGGTGATATGCTCCTTCTATGGTATATTTACCTTGATGTCTACTTGGTCCATCGACTGGATGGGTAGTGCCGCCCTGCCACCAGAATTCGGCCAACAAGGACCTGAGCCAAGCTCAGCTACAGCGGGTCAACATGACAGGCCATGAGTGATTTGGGAATGGCGCTTGATTGTTTGCCTGCAAAGTCCTCCAAAAATGGCTGAAACTGCTTTGGAAGCTCAAGTTAAAGAGCTTGAGTTTCCAGATTAAATGAATTCCAGGCGGTACAGCTTTCAAGTGCTATCCTTCTACAAGTATTGCATTGTATGGCAAAGCGGGTTTGATGAGAACCTTAAGCTGCTTGCCTGATGTGATGGGTGGAAAAAATGTTTCCTCATCTTGGGAGTTCAAACAGTCCAATCCCAAGCAAACATCAGAACTCTGCAACCATTAGGGTTTCCCGTATCCCCAAGAGTTTCCCACATGGTACCCTCCACTAAATCAACATAGACCCTCACAAGATACGCCATTTCTAGTGGAAACTAACCTTCAACAAGTACTTGGAGGATCATCTCAGTAATTTGTGGTGGTAATATATAACTCTGGTTGGTTTCTGTCCCCAAGAGGCTTATCCCGTTTAGCAATATAGGCCAAAAAAAAGTTATGATAACTCTGGTTGGTGTTTGTCCCCTAATGGCTTATCCCATTTAGCATGTATACGTTATAAAGTTGTAACGTGTTGTAACCCCAGTTCAGCTATGATTCGTGTGGTGATCAGGTGCTGATCTGTTTTCTGCCACGCTGGATGAAGCTGACCTGCAGGACGCTTGTCTTCGATGCTTGGCGCAATCTCCACGAGAAAATTATGGATGGATTGGAATAACCAACCATACTGGGTTATAATAGGGATCTTATATGATTATATGGTACCTAGAAATAACAACCAAAGTGTGCTATGTTTGTGGTTTCGCTGTGAATGGTTCGTTAATCATCTTTGATCAAAGGCTGAAGGCAGGTCCTTGTTTTTCAGGGGATGGTGGTTATCATAACACCCAAAAAACGAACTGTCACACGAACCATGCCCAAAGATGGATGATTATTTAATTAAGCTCCAACATCCTTTCAAATGTTGCTCAAATGCTTGGGCGTGCCTCCCAGTTATGAATGGGAAGTACACGGACTCTCACTTGATCAAATTTACCCAGCTTTGCAATCCAAAAGAAGGTTCCAGGGTTCGAGGGTTCCGTTCCGGTTTTTAAGGCCGACAAAAAAAAGGGCGCACCACTCCCAGACCCGGAGATTGAAAGCCAACGGTCACTGCTGTTGGGAATTTGTCTTCAATGGATCCAAGAAATGGATGGTAGTCCATATTTACTACAATGGCTTTCAGAATCAATACCTGTAACCACAAATATTGGTATCAGTTGGTTCATAAATCCAATTACCATCCGTTAGCTATATAGATGTTATCTACCCCTTGAACCATAGGTGCCATATTGCCATATCACATTTCATGCCATATCAATATATATATATATGTATGTATATTATATATATATATTGATATACATACATACATACATACATACATATATATATATAACTATATAACTGACTATATATATTTATAACTATATATATATTGATATACATACATACATATATATATATATATATCATATATATATATATTGATATACATACATATATATATATAACTATTTATATATATGCATATATAATTATATACCTGTTATTGTTAATTGCTATATCAAAATCCCCTGCACCGAGGCGACGTCAGCCTGGACGACGCCCGGCTACGCTGCTGCCGCCTGAAGCGCTGCGACCTGCGCGGTACGCAGCTGCCGGAGCAGCACGGTGCGCCCAGCAGCAGAAATGCTGATTTAAGCGAAGAAAATGGGTGAATTCTGTGGTTTATAGGCCAGGGTACGCCTAACATCTTCAGTCGCCAGCCCCACCTTGTATTTATATCTGGCTGGCAGCAGGGGAAATCATGGCGACAATATCTGCACTACATGAACTCATGAACCACGCATGCTGATTCAGACACGCCACATCAACATTTGCTACATCATTTGGGTCAACATCATTAGTTCATTTCTCCAATCGGTCCCATTGATTTCAGACAGATCAGACAGGACCAGTCACAGGTAGGTGCGCCCTGGTAAGCACCTGGCCCCGCAGGGATTCTGCAGAAGGACCTGGACGGAGTGGTGCACGATCTGCCATTACCCAAGGGTCGGGTGGACGGCTTGAAAAGCCCAGGTCGGGCCCGGTAGAGGATCAGCTCGGAACCAGATTTTCTTGGAAGGAACAGCTGGCCATGATGGTGATGGTTGTGGTTTAGCATGCCAAAATCATTTGCAGATTTTCACTGATCAATGATTCCGATCTGAAACCTGCTTGACAAAGACGGGAAAGGGCTCACAAGGCCGAATCGGGAAGAGTTTCACTTGTCACCTCAACGCAACATGAGCCAACGAAAAACAAAATGCGTGGCATGTCTGTTTCGATGGGATCTCTTTCTCTGGATGGGATTAGCGGGAAAATCCTGGGCGAATATGGTTTTGTAGCTTGGCCGAGCCAATGCCTATTGAAGTGAATTTAGTCCATGCTTGCGATGCCCCCAGAAGAAAAAGCGGTTTGGGCCAGCAGCTTTTCATTCCAATGGCAAAGCTAAGAATCAGCTGAACGGAGAGGCCCCTGGTGCTGAAACAAAGGGGGCCCCCACGTGGCCATGTTAATGTCTAGTTGAAGTGGTGAAGTGCAATCCCACCTTGCACATTTGCAACCCCCCTTGGTTGACTGAGCCTCTGGCCCATATGCCGGTCCGGATCTTCCTGCCAATCTGTTGCTAACCATAGTTGCAAGCCATTTATGTATGGGATAATCTGGAACTCCAGGGTAAGAAAACTTAATCATGAGGCCTTCCAACCATCCAAGCATCACCCAGAACCATGGAGAGATCCCTTCAGTTTCATCTGCAGGACGGCAACACAGATCAGTTGAACAAGCGCGTCAGGACAACTCAAAAGGGTGGTATCATCACCTCACGGGATAGGATTCGATTCAATTAGAATTAGATAGATTAAATTTGATTGGATCGATTAGATAGATAGATTGATTGATTTTTAGATTAGATTATATAGATAGGATTCGATTAGATTTGATTAAGATTAGATTTGATTAAGATTAAGATTGGATTAGATTAAATTAGATTGGATCGATTAGATAGACAGATTGATTTGTAGATTAGATTATATAGATAGGATTCGATTAGATTTGATTAAGATTAGATTTGATTAAGATTAAGATTAGATTAGATTAAATTAGGTTGGATCGATTAGATAGATAGATTGATTGATAGATTAGATTATATAGATAGGATTCGATTAGATTTGGTTAAGATTAGATTTGATTAAGATTAAGATTAGGTTAGATTAAATTAGATTGGATCGATTAGATAGATTGATTGACTGGTTTGGTTAGATTTGAGTAGATTAAATTAGATTAGATACATTAGATTAGATTAGATTAGATAGGTTAGATATATTAGATAGATTAGATAGACTCTATAGATAGATTCGATTATATAGATAGAATAGACTAGAGTAGATTAGATAGTATCATAGGTAGATAGATAGGTAGGTAGATAGATAGATAGAACTCTGGTACCCTAGGTGCCCTAAAATAGCTGGTTAATGGATGGTGTTCCCCCAAAAGTATGGTAATATCTAGGTTTTGACCCATCCCCATGTGTGTGTATATATATATATGCGTGTGTACTGTATGTGTGTGTAAAACAAGCTGGTTTTCAACGACACATGGATATCACAGGTGTTTAGCCATTGAGCTAAGTGACTGTGCTTGACCAAGTGGGCGTTCAGACCTTCGGCTGCTCCTCGGATGGTTCCAAGTCACCATGGGTTTCAATGCTAAGCCATGGTCATTCATGACTTGGATGATTTGGAAGTGGCCCATTTTTTTCGGATTCCATAAATTCCATATCAAGATTAAAGAACCACTCAAAAATAGCTTCAGCTCGTGTGTTTTCTGATTAACATGTAGTTACCATTGTGTTTTTGTTTGCTCATCGGCTCCATCGGCCTCCAACAGCAACAGCAGCAAAGGTCATTATTGACGGTGAAGAAGGCCAGAGAGAACGGCGCAGTGACGCAGTGGCTGCTGCGTTCAAGTTCAACCATTGTTGGTTAATTCTGGGACTATAGTTTTTTGCTGGTGATCGCACGTATGATTATCACCCATGAACTGGGAAACCTGTTCTTATCCAACCAAGATATAATGAAACACTGTTCCGTTCTATGTTCCATTCTAGGTGTGGTTTACATGATGGAAAAACCCCCGAAGGCCGGGTGCAATGGGCCCAGTTCCCAAAGGTGAAGGAATTGATAAAATTCCTTGGGTCGAAACGTCGAAATCTACACGTAATAGGTAGGTATGATTGGATGTGTTCATTTGGAGGCTCAATTGAGGGGCATGAACAAATCCAATAATAACTCTGCCAATTAATTGGATGCAAACAATTCAATAAAGATTGTACTCCCCCCTGATTTCGGTTTTCTTTACTCGGTGGTGTATATCCCCCTTTTAAATGTTGATTAAGCCGCCCAGACCAGCCGGTGAGGCATGTGGGTCTTGGAAGGGGATGAAGTCGTGGCTGTGAATGGCACCAACGTTGAAGGCAAGTCCCTGGACGAGGTGCGACTGGGTAAATTGGTGGCTTCATGAGCGATTCTTAAGCATAGATTTGGGTGAAACATGGTGAATACGTCTTTGCAGATTACTGATATAATATATATATATACATCTTAGAGTAATTGTTCAAAGAGCTACCCAAGTCTAGCCATTGCACGGATCCGAGCGTAAAAGCCATGGAAGATGCAAACAGAATCTAAAAGAATCAAGAGTTTTAAGCTTTCAACGCTTCTACTTCCAGGTTATTCCAGGTTGATTCTCCTATTTTTATTTATTTTGGCCATTTGCCCCATACCTTCCATCTTCGCATCTCCGCACCTTGGTGCTTGGAGCGCGGATGATGTGCTTCTGATCAGTGAATGACGTAAATTGCTGGGTGGCTGTAGGACCTTCGAACTGGAAGATCTCATTGACATCATTGATATATCAACCATTATTAGTGATATCATCCTTGATATTGGAATATCCTTAATATGGAAACTTGATATCAGTGATAGTATCCTAGCTTTTTCCGCAGATATCAACCATTCCAAGCAGGTGGGCCCTTTGGTGAAGAACTCCGAAGGTCGGTCACCCAGTCGAGGGGCATTGCCCTCAAAACTGGAGGGATATCCAACAAACATGGGGAGTTATAGGTGGTTTATGATTGATAAGTTGGTTGAAGCAGGTGAATTATGTAGATTCTCTGGTTTATGGTATATATATATATATATATTGAATTAGTTCATGGGGTGAATATAAACCAACCAACATAACCGGGGGGGGGCACTAATTGATGGATAACTTTGTATTAACTTCACTGGGAAGGGTGACGAAGCCCCCCATGGAAGACAAAGTGGGTCAAGATCGGACAGTGAATTACGACCGCAGCTGTGGTATCAAGTGCAGGGACACTGAGCACCGGTAGAACAAGCTGAACATATGGCAGACAATGCAGAAGTGGAAAACCAGTACTGCAGCTGTCCTTGCGGCTTAGCAGACAGGCTACAGTCGATACAGTAGGACTCAGTAGGTTACTTGCACTTGAGCCTATAGTTCATCCTTCCACCATGACACAGTGCAAGTGTACGAATGTACAAACAGATGCATACACATCCACTCATATAAACAAAGACTGTAGATAGATGAATATAAGTAATGTCATGTATACATACTGTGTATATATAAATATATGACATGCAGGTGCCTGCTGATGCATGCCCATGTAGCCGCAGATCTCTCAGGGCCACCACTCCATCACCATATGCCACTGATCGTGCCATGCGCCCCATCCGCGCTGCGGGAAACACCGTGGTGAAGCAGGGCGCGCGCAGTGCTGCCTCAACTGTGCGTGACTTGGCGTGGGTAAATCCGTGGTAGGTTTGAAACGCGGAAAAACATGGGAAACCATTTTCAATTGCAGAGGAACCAATCCGTTTCATCATATTTCATCATTTTAGAAGGTAGACAAGTAAATCCCGACGAATTTGATGGTGATTTGCCTGTTATGTAGATCTTCCGGGGATTACTTCTTTGGGGTGCAGTTCTAAGATGTTCTAAGTTATAAGATGTTTGTTGTGGATAGATTTCATCATAGTTTATATGGCTTGCCCCAACTTGTGGCGGTTACGATCCATGGCATCAGCAGGCGATGTCAAAGACGAGACTCTGGAAGCTCTGGAGCAGGAGGTGGCTGGTTGCTGATGGGAAACCTACTGTACCTTCAATTTCTTTTGATTATAGGATGCACACTAAACTGCCTAGAAATCAAATGTGTTTGCAGGCTATCTAAGACTTGCAAGTATTTGGTTGGCAGCTGGATGACCAGATAGGTTGGTTGTGACATGGTTAACGATCATCCATCGTGGGACCTGGTGAGCAACCCCACTAGATCCCAGTCCCCATTCATGGGCTTTGTCCAACCTGCGTAGATGGGTTATAAGTTATAACTATGGTTGCCAACCTGCTACTGTTTGTGGAAAAATCCTCCAGAGAGAAAGTCCTGAAATTCTGGGCTGGTTAAATATGTTAAATCCCGACTTTCACCCATGATTTGATAGGTGGAAACCTTGCGCCGAGCCATCGAGAAGGAACAAAAGGAGCTTGCCACACTGCGACTCGGCGTTTTTGGGCGAAGTCATGGCGTGTCGTCGACGTATGTTTTGGGGGTATCATGAGAGATTACATATTCGAATAAATTATTATTACATAGCTATTATAATGGGGTATTATAATTACATGGTGTATTATAATTACATATAACTATTTTCACTATCTTTATAATGGGCTATAGAATGAGGTAGAAGAAACTGGGGATAAGAAATGGTAACCATGGGATTTTTTTTGGTGCGATACCATCTAGGTATGCCGTTCGGTAATCAAACCTGGCAATGGATGGCAATGGAACATCCCCTACATTTGTAGGAGTCTATAGCTGGAAAAATCATCGAACTATTGCAGGGGGATTTTCCAGCCAGGTTTGATGACACGGGGATGGGATTTTAGTTCTGGTTAGTGGTTTGATTTTGGTAAATCCATCCTATTTAAAAAAAATCGGGATGATGGCCCCCATTGGCGAGCTTTTTTTTTCAAGGGGGTGGCTCAACCACC